TTGCATCAAAATTCAGACATTTGGCCTCGAATGTTCACATGTGTAGCGCTCAACCTCGTACCCTAATCCATTGAGAAAGCGGAAGACAGTTTATGTAGCTGGATTGACTAAGCCCATGGGCAAGGTACCAGAAACGAGAATAACTGCGTTTCAAACTGGCGCAGCGAGCTTTCGGTCGAATCTATCGCTCATCCATTCTACCAAGAAGGTACCAAAGACAGCACCCGCTTGGCATGAAACCGACAAAATTGTCAACGGCCAATGTTTCTGCAACGGTAATTTTCGGACACTTGCAAGATTTGTTCAGTTGATGCCCACATAAATAGCGAAAGAGATCCTTTCATCCAGTGAGCTCGGAACGTCTTTTTTCAAGTGTCGAATACACACCGGGTTAGGACAAGTAGTGTATATCCTACATAGTACATATAGCTCGCTTCAAACACGCTCAGTCCGCCTCACTTCTATTTTTTTTAACTAATTCGGGTTACAACTGTAAAAAATTAACCTTCGATGACTGTTATTAGTGCTTAATGGGGCTCGTATCGGGCAAATATACGACATTCAGGCCAATCCCCGACGTATAACTACCCTATTTTCTAAAAACCACTCTCCCACAATTCTGGTGGTTTTTATACACGCGTGATCCTATATCTATTGAAAAGGGAACATATCTAAGAGGAAAAAGATTGAAATTAAAGTGGCTGGGGGGCTTATAACCCGCGCCGGAAAATATGTAGGATTTGTCGCGGGACTTAAAAGAGTGGATGGACTATTATGGCACACAACATGGTTGAAAACCGGGCGTTGAAACCCTCGGAAAACGTAGGGACCGCGAAATGCAAAAGTACATATTGAGACTAGTCAGACGGTCCCGTGAAATTCCTTTTCGAGTCAATAGAGACGTTTGGCAACGTATACAACATACGTAGTACTGCGGAGCATTTATTAATCATTTACCAACTTCTGCTTGGCAACACCGAATCAGGCAGGTAGGTGTAGAATTATTTCTTCACCCTGTCTCACATGTAATGGCTCTGTTTCGGGATAATCTCAAATGGTACTAGCTGCATAGTTAGGACATCAAGATTTTCAACCCATGTTGGCAACTACCAGTTAAAACCAAGCTAATTTACAACGATGTGCCTGAGTAGTTAGGAGGGCCCATGTATAGAAGCTTAGGGCTATAGAGGTGAGCCCTTAGGGACCTTTGGTGTCCAGATTTAGGCGAAGGGGACTATGGAAGTGGTGCTTCAGAGTCAGAATTGAGATCACACTCAGCATCAGAAGCATCGAGAGCCATTAACATGGCATCTAAGCGCGCATCAAGGTAGAGATTACGCATATGTAGGTATAGAAATGGAGGAATTATCATGTGTAGGTGGAATTTCACGTTAAAAAGCAGGGTTGATTAGTTGATTAATTGCAGGTTCTATTAGCTATGCCTTGTTAGGGTTATGCGGAAGTGCTTGCAGTGACGCAGCAAAAGTGTCAACTAAAGTGGAGTACGGAGTATTGTGGATACTGAAAATTTTTCCTCCGCCCTCAATAGGCGGCTAGTACATGGATTAATAAAAAAGGACTCAGTAGTTATACGTTGCCAAACGTCTCTATTTGAGAGTTGTGCAAATTCATTGATCGTACCATGCATGTGTTGTACACCGATATTTCTGTCAGGAAAGTTGTGTAATCTTGTTTCTCTACACCCCCGCCAGTTCGTGAAGGATAGTGAGATTTTACAATTCCGAAATCTCGTCGATTACAACCAGGAAAAGGTTGAAAAACTTCTAAAGGATCAATGTCCATGTAGTCTCTATGGAGAAAGTACTTTGTGGGTTAATTTCTACAGAATGGAACGGAAGGGGCAACAGAAGAGAGGAAGGTATAACTCGTAAATAATTCATTTCAACATATTTCCGTTTGCTTCGTGGGGTGTAAAAAATAAAACAAAAGCCTCAATCTTATGCGACAATTGAGCCTTTTCTCACATGGAGCTTGGCACCATCATCGACTCCAAGCCAGAGGAGGTCCGGCCTGCTGTAATGGCCACACACATCTACAAAATGCTTGGAATGGATGATGTCCTCCAAGTTCAGAGTGGCATATAGAATTCCTTCCTCGGTGGAAGGAATGTCAGTCGAGAGCTTGCGTCCATCGGGCCCAAAGATTGCAGAGCTGCCACCGCCAGGAACGTTCATCGATCCTAGCTCTGTGCTCATCTTCGTAATTCCTGCTTCACTGAGGACAGCTGTTGTGTGGAGAACAAAAGAATTCGATTCCATGGCGTAAGTTTGGGCGAGAGCAGCCGTTCCTATGAATGACATGTTAGCCCAGTTTGATGAAATTGCCTTTGAACATGATGCCAATACCTTCGCGTGACATTGAGAACAGCGAATGATCTCCGGCGTGCTCAAACAGAGGCGGCCAGGCTGCGACATGAATCTGCTCCCGTTGCGTGTATGTGTGGAACTTGAGAAGTGGCTGAATGTGCTCCCAGCAAGAAAGTGCGCCGACTCGGCCCACTGATGTAGGCACCACGCTGTTGAGGCAATCGTTTCGGGAGTCACCGAACACGGTTCGCTCCATGTGGGTAGCCTTGATCTTTTTGCGAGTGGTAAGAATTTCTCCATCTTCGCTAATAATAGCCTGTGCAATGTAAAGCGAGTGGTGGAAGTTCTCGGAAAAGCCCAGGACGACTATGATTTTATGCTTGCGCGCACAGTTTTTGATCTTCTCCATTTGGGGCGAATCCACAGTCAACGAATTCCGAATATACAGAGACATGAGAGTTGGGTCAACGGGTCGCGACCTATTCGGTAGTTAGTCTTCAGATATCCGCCTGAATCACTACCGAGTGAGAAATCATAAGAAAACATACCAAATCCAAGCCGGATAGCCTGGAATCCAGCACTCCGGAAATGCTACGAGTTGAGCTCCATTCCCAGCAGCCTCGGCGATAATACGACAGGTCTTTTCGACTGTCGCTTCGAGATCAAGCCAAACGGGCTCTACCTGGGTGACTGCAACGCGAACCATAGTGGGTATCTGAGTGGGAATTGGAATGATAGTGTGCTTTAAAGATAATTAAGGAATTGATTGAGATCTGTGACTGCTTTTATAATTATCAGAGATGGAGCCCTTGGCAGGTCTGCGATCTAGGACTTATCGTGGCGGAACTTTTTCTTCCGCCGCTAGGCTTAGGCCCAATCATCTTCCGGTAGGTGTTTCAACACTATCTAATCATGAATGATTGTTATCTGACTCGGAAATAAAACGCTAGAAGAATACATAATCGGCGCTACGTTATCATCGCGGCACCCGCTTGACCAATTTTTGGTTTAGTCTGAACACGGACACCTACGGGGTCACTCATGGTTCGAATCAAAACATTACTACGGAGTACTATTCTGCACACCATTGCGAAAGGTTCAGCCTCATGGAGAAACATGGCTTTTATCGTCTCAGATCATGAAAGTAGAAGTGGGAAACCCTCTGCTTCATGAAAAGAAATTCTGGCTGATTGAGTAATGATTTGAAAAACGCTTTATAAACAGAACAGTCATGATAATTAACCATACAGGCAATCTTTTTATCTCCTAGATTTTCCGATATTGAATTTTATACCCGTCTCTAAGTGGGTTGAACCACAAGAGCAGATTTTTTCCCCCACCAGTTTCCTTCAGTCAACCTCCAAGCCCCACATCGATGAAGCTTCTTTGCCATATTACGCATCGATTGATATACCTTGACCAACATGGGGAAGCTCTGATGACTCTGTGAAATTATAAATCGTCGTGTTCAACATATCCTCGTTGTGGGAGACAAAGTCGAGGGGATCAACGTCAGTCCAACCCGGCATGTCGAAAGAAGTGTCAAACCGTGAGCTCCTTGCCGTGGTCCCCTCATTCGTAGTCGTATATTGTGGCTCATTATTAGATAGATTTTTTGGCTGGCACCAATCAGAGGCACAGGGCGTTGGAAATCCATTCTGGAGTGGTAAAGCTAGCATAACTTCCCATCTGTGGGCTAGCTGCTGTAGAAGTGAAATGGCCTTTCTGGCCTTGATCCATCTGGCTCGCATTTCCCAAAGAGCATTGTAGCAAACACGAAAACGCTGTATGGACTGGTCGCGCAACGGTTGTTGCTTAGAAGTTGCGTTGAGTAAAAGAGTGATAGCAGCCGTCAAGACACTGTGAGGTACAAATGGTGGAACTTTGTCAAAGTCGGCTATCTTTTTATACTCATTGATGAGTCTGACCATGGCGGCTGCTGCCGTAGACATGGATCGAACACAGAGGCGATGTGACTTGCTCTGTGTTGGTTCCTTTAGAAAAGGGCGATGGATTAACATCAGCGACATGTTATATGACATGTGGAGTAATATGACGGCAGGTGATTTATTCTTTGTTCCTATCTGCACCAGGGGGTCCAACTGTCGATGGAAGGAAAGTAGCCTTTCATGAGCATCCATGAGCAAGCGGTATCGTTCTCCGTTTTCTAATGTGCCAAAATCGAACGAATAACTGTATTTATTCAGGTCAGCGAGAGGGAAAGATTTCTACCGAGTGAAATGGAGATTCTGACATCTGATCCATGTACTGGTCATGAATGAACCACAGTCGACAGTGGTGGTCGAACACTAGTTCGTCTAAGCTTGGGGTAGGTCCAACTGCACTCAAGAATGAGGAGGCCCGTATGCGTTTCCATGGTAAAGCACATGTTCTTCCCAGGAGGGATGTTGCAATTCTGTTTCCACACGACAAGTAAGAATAAGTTGTGAACGGGGCCGTTGTATAGCAAAAAAAAACTGGAACATACCTATCAAGAAAGACCGAGGACCACAGCGTTCTCAAACGGATGGACCTTGAATTCAAAATTGAGGGTTGATCACCCGATTCAACTTCAACCTCGTTTGAATGATGCAGTGAGCTGGCTGGAATACCTAAATGTAAAAGCATGCTAGCACACATTGCTTTATCCGCACATACTGTTAGCCACAGAGAAAAGAAGAACTTTCCGCGGGATCCGGTTGTACGACGCACAATTGTACATCCAACTCATGTTATGTTGATCGAGAGCTAGTTCGCGCCAGCACATAATCGATAATGCTTGAACGACCAAGATGCTAGGATACTGTCGGCAACTCTGCAGAGCAGTACCTTCTATTTTAGATGCCATTTCACAACCGAATGCCTCACTAGCTGGATCATCCGAAAGAAGGGCCCCGGCTGCAAATACCGCATCTTGAACAAGACCGAGCTGTGGGCTGAGGTTGTCTTGTTGAATTTTTGAGAGAGTGGCATTATCCAAAAACTGATGGATTGGATTCACCAGACGAATAAATAAGTCAATAAGATGTTGACGATGGGTGACTTCCGAGACATCTAGCTTGTGTGGCTCCGTTGACTCAGCTCGCAATCCAGTCCTCACGGGCTTCTCGGGAGTTCTGTTTTTGGTGGTTTTGGAGCGATGGGGTGAAACTGGAAAGCAGAAGTTCCCCGAAGGCCCAATGAACGCAGGCTCGCCACTATCTTCAATATGCATACACCACATTAGCGAACTCACATCTTCTATAGCCTTTGGTATGCTAATAGAGGAGGCAGAAATATGCCCCTTGCCATCTGTAACATGTTGGTCTTCCGTTTGATCCTCAAAATTTTCATCTTCAAGCATGATGGTTGAAATATGCTTTGGCCTTTGACTACTCGGGTCATGATTCTCCAAACGCCGCACCTCCTCTTTCAGTAGTTCAATCTGGACTTCTAGCCCAGCTACATAGCCTGAGTCACGTTTGCGCCTAGGTCCGAATCAGCTATATTCTCCTTTCCAGTGTTGGGATGAGAGCATACTTTGGGCGCCTCTCCGTTATATATTGGCATTCCAGATTCTTGGCTAGACAAGGGGAGCAGGCTGGTTGCACGCCATCACACTGAGATCGCATCAGTCAGTGATTAAATAACATTCGGAGGCAATGTGTAGATTATTTCTGTAGGTCCAGAACAAAAATGAAGAACAGTCCTAGATAATCTTACTTTGCGCTTTCGTTTGCGGCAAGTCTCGCAAGCCACGGTGACCCTCGGATGTGAAGTTCTTGTGTCCATTGCCGAATAGACAGAACAATAGCAGAAACCGAAGACTGGGGGGCTAAGATGTTACTGGGAAATTTATTCAGATCTCAATCAGTCGTCTGTGAATGAAGCAGATAGCTGTCTCTGTTGTTCGATGAATGGGATGGGATGATTCTCAAGTGATGGGCTTACACATATAGGAGCTTAGCCAATTAAAAGATTGCGATAAGCGAGATGTCGTCCACAGATCCATGGGTGGCAGGTACACTGGTGCCTGAATTTACAGGCAGAAAAAAAACAAGCGAGTCGCCACTCCAACGCGCATCGATTTACTAGATTCTATATTGGAATAATATGGAAAACTTTTCAAAGTTAGTGGTGAGATAATTGATCGATTGAGTCTTTCTGTTCTGTTCTGCACATGCTGCGTATTTCAATACAGTACTTCCGGGATTATCCGAACCGCCATACTTGTAAAAGCCAGTGTGGAAAATGACCAATGGCACTCCGTACGTTCCGTGACATTTGTAAGGTTGAGCATCGTTTCCGATAGAGCAATCTAGAGTTTAATTTTTAGCTTCGTACCATGCCATGCCAGTCCGGCCGAGAGCTACGCTAGTGCAGCGACGCAGCAAAAGCGTTGGGGCCCCCACACTGCATGTCCATTAAAGATTCTGCCGGACAAATCATCCCGCCTAAGATTCACCAGGTCGCTATTATGGCCTGGCTATTACGCTACTATGCATCCTGTTGAATTGAAAACGACATCAAAGTTTGAGAGCCAATTTTTTTTGGGGTGCTTCAGATGTTTGGGGCGCCTTATAGCATAACTTGGGCGAGCGTTTGGTAGGCGGTAGAGCCGAGATGCGGGCGGTGTAAAAGGTGGATAGTGTTGGCAATTTCACTGTATTCGTGCCAAGCCCACCCACACCTACGGAGTTCCCGGTGTTGGTGGGCTACACCGGATTACAAATTTTCAGCGGATAGCAACTTTGGGATTCTTCACATGGTATCTCCTCCATATTAAAGTTACATAAATACACGATATGGAGGATGAAAAAGATGTTTTGACAAAAACTATTATGTGTAAAGAAACTTTGGATGAAACCTCAACTCTCCTACTTTACGCACTTAAGATTTCCTACTAAAGTTGACAGTGTAAATTGAGAATTTGATTTGTAAAAGAATGTATCATTTGACATCCTTGAAACCATTTCAACGGTGGAGAAAATTGATTTTACACTATTGTTGGATTTAGGTGCCTTTTAGATAATGCCGCCATACAAGATCTACTTGGTCTTGAAATTTTGCAATCTGGTGTAGGTAGAACTTCATACTCCGTAGGTGTTGGCGGGCTTGGCACGATTAGTTCTCGGCCGGGCTGGAGAGAGTGCACCCGGCACTCCCCGGTAAGCTGGGATGGTGATCTGGAGCTAAAAATGTCTTTAGAGCGGCGTAAAATTGCACAACAATGTGGACTTCTCGGCGGTGAACTACATGACAGAAGAATTTGAGAAAAGCATCGGGTTGATTGGATTTCCGTCCAGGTTTCCGTGGCCTTGGATCAACGCTTTTCGTGCTGTCCGTATGCCCCAGATTTAAAATATTTCCAAAACCACATTAACCATCAAATCGTAGCTTAAGTGCCTCATCAGTCCATATTCTGACCTTTATCTGCCCAATATCTGATCCGTTTGCCAAAAATATAGACAGGAACAGTTGTCACCATTACACCAAGACTGACAGCTCCAAATGTGGAAAAGAATGGCAAAGGTCCGATTCGAGCGTAATAGTCGTTAAAAACAAAGATCAAGCCAAAAGCAAAAACACTCTTGGACAACTAGTTGACGAATTAGTGAAGATGTCCAGCATTTGATGTGCAATGTATTTACCATGGCAAGCCCGAATGCATCCCCTGCCCTTTCGGCGAATACATCATTGGTGTAAGTCACAATACTGGTGCATCCCATGCCAATAGCGAAGTTGAGAATAGCCATAAAAACGCCACAGACGATAAATGAGAGCTCGTTTTCAATGGCAGCCCCAAGGCCAAATGACCCAACCGCCATGGCAATGGCTGTTGGAAAAATGACAACAAGACGAAACTCGGGTTCGTACAAGCCACTGTTTCTGCGGGTCATTTCTTTAGCGAGGAAATCGCATAGCCACCCGCTCACAACGGTTCCTATTGCCGACCCAATGAAGGGAGCAATACCAGAAAGATTTCCAACGCCCACAGTACTCATGTTGTAAGGTGAAGCGACGAAGATTTGTGACACAACAGCACCTAATAGAATAGCCCAGGTGAATGTCACTGACCACATGAGGCAGCCCCATATAGCAATAGGATGCCATATGAGATACAGTGGCTTAATGCAAGCCATGAGTAAGGAGCTCTTCCTGTTGCTCTTCACTTGACTGAATGCGAATGTAGAGCTCCACCACGAGCAGCGTGGCTCTTCAGAAGTAGCGTGCAGTGAACTACCGGTATTCATCTTCTCTGCAGCAGAGTTTTCGTCTTTTGGTGTATGTTGAATACCAACAACGACGATATCTTTATCCTCGCGACAAAATGTCGTTTCGGGGAAAAGAAATATCACACTTATAAGAAGAGTGGAAAACAAGATCATCTCAAGCCAGAAGCTCCATCTCCAAGACAGATTCGAGATGACATATCCACTAACAACGGGCGTGAGATTGACAGAGATGATGACACCGAAGTTCCAGAGGCCGACGCGAATTCCACGCTCGTGAACGAAGAACACATCATTTATAGAAGAAGTGCCCGCTAGCGCAAAGAATGCACCTATCCCGAGACCTTGGATGGATTAAAAAATTAGCCTTTGCCATTATAAAGGTAAAAGGAAGATGCGTGCATAGATACCTTGGAAGATACGGGAAGTAAGGAGAGAATGGTAAGATTTAGAGGCTGCTGCCCAGCAGCAAGACACGATCAATAGGATTGTAGTGGCAATGAAGACAGAGCGCTTTCCATACACCCCTGCAAAGCAAGAGCATAAATAAGCACTCACGCCCGAAGCCATGACCAGTGCGCCGTTAAGCAGCGCAATGCTTCTCAGATTCGTTTCAAACTGCGCGGCCACTGTTGTGAAGCCAGGGACCAATACTGGACCCAAGGACCCTGTTGCACATGACCCGAAAATGATGGTAGCGAAAAGCAGTTCTTTTTTCAGTCGTGTCCAGTTGAGAGGGTCTGATGGCGAGTTGGAAGGCAGAGGCATCAATTTAAGGTGTGTGTCATTGTTTTCTTCGGCATCCATAATCAGGACATTGTTGTTCCTTGATGGGTGGACCTGTCGCGATGGTTCCAATATGCCAAATGCCATTTCGATGGAGAGGAAGGAACGAACACAGTAGAATAATGGAACTTCTTCTGGTTTTCAAGGATGTAACAGATTTACTAAACTGTTGGATGGTTGCCATGTCATTCTTTATATAACGGAGTACACCTGTCCACGATGTATCTGATTCTCACAAGATATGGAAAGGATAAGGAATGATAGATTCATGCACCGTCTAATCACAGCGGCTTCAAACCTTCCGCCGCTAATCTGCAAGCAGCGTCGGATCACCTTTCATGGTCACCGCCATCGACGAAGAGCAAATGATAGAAAAAGAAGTGCAGATAGAAACTTGGAAGGTGCCAAATTCTTGACACCCATGATGTGACTGAGGAGCATAGGGGGAGTACGCGAGTGTCTTTTTCCAATTGCTAGCAATCACCTTGGTCGCTAATCGATGAACTTGCATTGTACATGTATGTATATACGTGTGAAGCTTGGTAGAGTGGCTGTTATCTGGATCGGAAAATATACACACACTACAGGTTTTTGATCAGTGGACAATTTTTCTCGGAATTCTTGTTTTGCCCTGAATGACTTGGCAGCCTTGCCACATTGCTCGTATTTAATCAAACCTTAAAATTCCGCTCTTTGCGGGGAGACACGTGGGTTATCTCTGCGGCTTAGGTCTTTCCGCTGCTTAGGTTTGAATGGAGGTACCAAAAAGATAAGAAAAAAACTTTAAAAAAACTTTATTTGAATGATTGTCCGATACGGCTACCCAGTCAATTTGCTGCGATAACGGTACCTGACTGTACGTCTTTACAGTTCGTGTAAATTTCTCGTTTTTGCATGATAACCGAACCTTTGACATTCTTTTTATCAATTTCAGCGAACGTGAAACTCTTTTTTGGATGATGCTAACGCCATATCCTTGGCTCTAGTCGCTCTGGGAGTCGAACCCCCTTTTTACGAATCTGCATTTCTTGAGTCGTCCGCTGTGGCCGAGACATGAAATAAAGATTGCGTCAAGGCCCAATTCCACGCTGTTAACCAAGGGCTTCGTGACAAGAGCTACAATCTGAATAATGGACCTACAACAAACCCTTTAGGCTGAAACCCCTACGGTGGTCGCCTGGTTGAAACCATTGTAGGATTCCTGCTTCACTGGTCTCGACTTTGGACTGGTCAATGAGGGCCTGCGAGGTGCAGACCATTCCTTGCAGCAAACACTTCCGCTTGAATGAGCAAAAGTCTACTCGCTCCAAAGTTTTCTGGGGCAACGATGCTGTAAATGGCCTCGAAGAAACACGGCGCACTCCAGCAATGCAGAGGACGAAACCAGAATGACGAGAGGAAAGTTGCATTCTGGGAGAGAAATTCACGTGGCATGCGTTTATCGGACTGGCGGAAGGTGCAAAGGGTACATTACATGCTCCCATCTAGCGGGTTAGAGCCGAGCTTTCGGCTATGTCTTAAATAAATAGACCCCATGCGAGGGTTAAATTGCAGCCAAAAGCCGAAAAACGAGGCGGCATTTTGTCCTCTTCGGATCTGTTGAGAAAGTCACCAACCTTGAGGCCTGGTTTTCCCAGCCTTACCTAGCTATGTAGATAGCTCTCTGTTTGTGTGTAGAGAATCATCTTTTCTCCTCTCTCTTTGTTCTCACTTGTCAGCTTCGTTTTGCTGATTTCGGGACTTTGTTGTCGAAGAGGCTCTCAACTCCCCCACACGTCTTCGAATGTAACATTGCCACAGGCCCTTGCCTATCAGATTTATCTTAACAACCACATTGACAACTAATCCAAAAGTGTTTGCCCCTCTCATCGTTACTTCACAACACCTCAGCTTGTCTTCCCTGTTAACTAACATTTTGCTGACAACTCATCCAGGTCAACAGTTTAAAAAATCCTCGGAAATAGCATCACTAGCACTATGACCTCTTGACTGATGTGGCAATTTCCTAGGATCTATTTAGTTGTAATGAAGCTCGTGTATCATCCCTTGTCGCTGTGGTCTACAAATTTTAACGTGACGATCAACAGAGATTTGAGTCTGCACATTTCCGCAACCGGCCTAGAGGGCGGGCAATCTGTGTAAGTGTTGAGATACACGATAAAAGAAAAGTCGGCTGCGTTTGTGGCCTTGTCCGGACTTCTTTTACTGGTATGTTGTCCTTCTCGGTGTCATAGAGAGACAGCAAAAGGCGGGGAAAGGTTTGATATTTGATATATAAAATCAGGGAAGCAGTGCGAAGACCAGAATCAGACACGAAAATTTATTAACGAATGGTGGCACGATTACATTTGATTTTGAAGCGTGGGAGACTAGGTAGGTTTCGCCTTCTCCCAGAATATGCAGTTGGACAAGGATTCTTTGGGCGTAGTATCGTAGGCTGGATTATTTTTCATGCTTGAGTCTGTTCCAGCCGAGCCGCAAATTTCTTCCCTGCGATAGATCATCATGTCTGAACGCAGTGCGATAGCAACTCATTAAGTCTCTCGGAATTTTTGTGCATATTATTCCAGCATATGGCTCGAGTCGCGTCCGTTACATATAGTCCCCAATTGTTACGTTGGTCAGACCTTTCATGTGTGGCATGCACACCTAGGTGAGTGCATGTGGGTTTGCTGCAAGGCTTGGTACTCCGTATAGTCGGTCCAATGTCCTCATTGACAAGATATGACCTAGAATTACGACGACAATAAGAGTCAGCAGCCAAAAATAGCACAAAAAAAAAGGATTAGTCGAACAAACTTCCAAGTTTCTGTTGTGCGAAAGAGAAGATCGCTGCTCTTCCAAGCCGCCAACACCGAGGTTTCCTTGACGTCAGAAGCAGGATAAGAGAAGGTTGGGGTGCGCAATCAAGAAGGGAATATTGAGATTCGGATCCAGTTCTTACAAAAAGTGAGAGCATGGCTATGATTGATTCTTATTACCTCTTTTGTCATACGCTGTGTGGGTGATCTTGTCTAAATCCTCAAACCCAAGCTTTTTTTGGATACTAAGAGTCAAAATCGCATCGAGACCGACTGTTCTTTTTGCATTCGAGTGCCAGCCACCAGAGACTAAGATTTTCAATTCCCCGAAATCAGATCAAATGTATTGACTTGCTGCAGATATGGTAAGTGCATACCAGCCTTCGAATGTTTCCATGGACCTCGGGACGCTGCTGTAGCCCTCTTCCGTGGCTCACCCAAGCACCATCCGCGCGGGCCGAACAAAGAACCACGGATCGCATACTCTGGGACTCATTAAAGTAAACACGTTTGCTTCTCCAGGCTTCTATATATTCCATTCTCGAGCCCCGGCAGTCAAGCCGCAGTGGGATCGGGGGTATCGCTATCGGCTCGATCGCTGTGACCTCCTCATTCTTTGGCTGTGGCGAAAATTCCGACTTCCCAATGCGTGGAACGGCGGCGATAATTCTGACTTCGGCTACCAGCCTTCAATTACGAGCAGCAGCACGAGCAGCCGCAGACGGGGCCAGCGCCGTCGCCCGTCTGAGACGTGTGTGGACTATGTCAAGAAGCCGACTAGTGTACGCAGTGCACGTCGGTATAGGGATCACGATGCTTTGCGCCGGCCAGCTAAGGTTTGCATAACGGAGCCAAGTAGTTATGAGACACGACATACATATGGCTAACTGCGAGCTTTTATGGTTTGATGAGAAATTATTCTTGGAATGAATTGCCTGGTCTGTGCGTGCGATGCTTGCTTTGTTTCGAATTGAAGATCGGATCTGGACGCCACCCCCCCTGAGCTCGGGTCCCAGTGCGTGGTAAAGAACCATCTGATTAAGCCCTTTTATTTGTGATACACTCTGCAGACCTGGGCATGGCTGGATGTCTACAAAATTTAGTTGGACAACTTGCTGATGGGTACCTGAGTGGTGAGGGACTGAAATCCTTGACCTGGTCCAGTAGGACTTGGCTGTATGTCACCATGCAGTGGCGTTCGATCAATCAGCATTACCGGAGTCTCCCCTGCTAGAACTTCGAGTCGGCAATTCAACGGTGATCACACAAAACGTCATATCTGTCATCTCTCCGACTCGACGAATACGAGGGCGTAGGCGTAGAGTTTACTAAGCTAGCATCGTTCGCGCGATGGGAAAGTGCATTTATGAAGTGGGTGTGCAGGTAACGTAAGACAGGGGAAAAGGTCCACAGGGAAAAGAACATGGGAAAAACAAAATCTGGATACAAAATCTATACTCATTGGCTGGGGGGGTGGACTTGGCTTCCTGATGGCTTAGTTGTTGGACCCCCTGAGCGGAGCTTTCTTGAAATTTAGTTTGGTAGCAGGATCTGAGGATCCGGAAGAAGCCTGAAAATATGCACAACATAAGTTATCATTACCGATTTGTGATTCCCAGAAAGTTGAATTCAAGGGGCACATGCATGATCTGTATGAAGCCCAATCTTGGAGTCATTTCCCCTGTGGCGACTGTTGTCAATTGGGCTTTTGATCTTCATTGCAGAGGTAGTTCTCCCTCGAATGGCCTAGGCGTGCACTAAACAACTGGTCTTTTCCTGCATCTAGAGTCAGGAGATTTCTGATAATCTGATGTTGGAGATCCTCTATAAATCAGCTACAGAGTACAGAGTCTATATTCCAAGAGTGTGCGCAATCCAGGGCTCGGTTCTTATTGAGGTTCTTAGCGATCAGTCAATCGGTGGGTAGTTGGTAACCAATCAGCATCACTCGTTTCAGAATGGGTTTAGCGGAAAAGACCGAGCGAGCCCAAAGGGGTTAAGCCTCACGCACAGGGCCCCTGGACGTTACCTAATAAGGTTAGTGGAATGCGTCAAAATGGAACCTTCTAACCTAAATTGGCTAGCAATCTCGACCATCTCTGCAGCTTTCCCCTTACGCTCTACAACGGTGCACAGAAAAGAAAAACAATCAGAACACTGGCCCCACAATGCTCTTAGTCCACTCTACGCCTAAATTGGACCATCGTGGCCGATTTCCCTCATTTTCTCGATGTTCCCTTTTTCACACTCTTAGGACATTGCTGCTGGCAGACTGCCTTCCACTCATTACCGTGCACTTGCACATCCACTCTTTATCGAATCCCGAGTAGTCTCGAGTCCACTCCTTTTTTCCGTTTCTGAACAGTCCCAAAGCAGCATCCTAAGCAATCATCTATATATCAGTGCGCCATGTTCCTTTCTCGCATTGCCGTTCTGGCTGCTTTGGCTTGCTACGCCACCGCTCAAACCTCGACCGACTGTGACCCGACGAAGAAGTCATGTCCTGCAGATCCCGCCTTTGGCACCGAACACACATGGAACTTCAACACGACGTTAGATGAAAATATCTGGAACATGGCCACCGGAATCTACGACCACGATGACGATGGAGCCAAGTTCACCCTCTCGAAGGAGGGAGAGTCCACCCTTCTAGAGTCTAACTTCTATATCTTCTTCGGTGTCGTCGAATCCCACGTCAAAATGGCCAAGGGCGGCGGTCTGGTAAGCAGTGTGGTGTTGGAGTCTGACGATCTGGACGAGATCGATTGGGAATGGGTGGGATACAACACTAGTGAAGTGCAGTCCAACTTCTTTGGCAAGGGTAACGATACCACCTTCGATCGCGGCGGAAATCATTACGTCGCGAACGCAGACACCGAGTTCCACAACTACACCACATACTGGGATCAAGACAAGCTTCAATGGTGGATTGACGGTGACTTGGTTCGCGAACTCCCATACTCCGACAAGTCTACCTTGTTCGGAGAAAACTACCCACAAACCCCCTGCCGTGTGAAATTCAGTCTGTGGCCTGCTGGTCAGAAAAAGGCGGCAAAGGGTACTATCGAGTGGGCTGGTGGCCTTGTGGACTGGAACGCCGCCCCTTTTACCATGACACTCGGCAAGCTGCGCGTTAAGGATTTCCACTCTGGCAAGGAGTACACCTACGGGGACCACTCGGGTTCTTGGCAGAGCATCAAAATGGTGGAGTAAGTGTGCCCACCCTGAAACCACCCTGAATATCACTAAAGAGACGTATTAGCGGAAATTCGACCGTAGCGGAACAATTGAACAAGCCAGAGGCCAAGTCTCTTTCAGAGAAATGGGATGATCTCGGCAAGGGAGCTCACATTGGAGTCTACATCGGCGCTGCCGTTGTCGCCGCGATTTGTATTGCGGCTTTCCTATTCTTCTGTCTGCGCCAGCGCCGCAAGGGCCGTCTCGAGAACGCGTTGGGCAATAATCCGGTCCCTCTCACCCATGATGAGATGCAGAACTTCCAGAAAGACTGGAGGCAGAGTGAGTGGAGGCAGACTCGTGGTTATCAGCAGGTCGCCAACTAGCTGGCTTGTGAAGTGCCGAACACACCCGCACGGACTTGCCTTTGGACCCGTCTAATGAATCTTTCTGTGATTTTTTTTTCAATTCGTTTCGCGCCGTGTCTGGTATTACAAACTGCCTCTATGACGACATCAATCTCGGACATCTGTGATGGCCGACGGAGTCGGAATGATGTCCGTTTTTCCTTTCGTCCTGGCTTACCGGCATTTTTCTACCGTCCTCTGTTGCGTCTGACTCCCATCCACGCGGGCCACTTGCTCCGCTCACCTATTTTGTTGATATCCCTCTTCTGGTCCTGGATAACCACTCCCTACGTGAACGTTGTTCAGACCGCCTTTCAGTTCAGTTACAATCTGTTTCCTTAACTCACATGTAAATATATAACCTCACAATAAGGGGGTTTCCCCAACCCTTTTTCCATTCTTGATCCTAGTAAGTGGGAAATTGTCCCATCAGTCCACCTAATTTGTACCTTGAATCAAGACGTGGACCAAGTGTTCGAAGTCGGCACAACTCTCGGCATAACTATGGTCCGGCCCTAGTTCAAGTACTCCGTACGTAGTCCCGAAAAGGGAGATTCCTGCGAGGTGGATCTGCAAGGCTGTGGTATAGTGGATTCGGTTGTACCGAGGTCCCCTTGTAGGCCCCTATAAGATTCCATATTTTCGAAATTCTTGTTTCCAACAGACGGTAGAATTAAAAATGGTGGCTGGGGAGATCTTGCCCTGGCTGGATAAGACGCGGCGATCGTGATTGGACTTCAATGCTGGAACTGAGTATTTCAACACAGCCCTGGAGATGAAACGTTGAAACAAATGAATTTATGTAATTTGTGCAGCATAACTAGGTATATTAGAGCTATTTTGATTATAGTAACTAGAAAGAAAAAAAGGAACCGAGGCTTGACAGTCGGTGAGGTCACCACTTTCTTATAAAACTTGGGAACTCTCCTGACCACTTCCTTTGATCTTCTAAACTTGGTCTATTGCATCTTGTTCTAAGTGCAGCTCAGAGATACAATTTTGACGTATTGTACAGCCGTTGACCTGGATTACGACCAGGCTTAGTGGGACAAATTCGTCTAACCCCGCCTTGACTATCCTACCTTCTTGCATTCTCACTTTGCGATTGATCCACACAAATCCAACACAGCCCGATCATCCAAACTGACCCGACTCTTCAATTGAAAGGCGGATATCATACGCCATGGCCTCGACCAAACAGGTCCCAATTCCGGGTCCCAAGGGTGTCCCATTCTTGGGAAACGTCTATGACATCGAGTCTGAGCTACCCATAAACAGCTTCGAGCAGATGGCCGATAGCTATGGTATGGACCTTGACCTGCACGAACAAGGTATAGAGACTGCGAATTTATGGGCTAATTGGCGCGTTTTTTTACCTTCCAGGACCAATTTTTCGGGTTACAACCTTTGGCAGAACCCGAGTATTCATTAGCTCTCACGAGTTAGTAGACGAAGCCTGCGATGAGGAACGCTTCAGCAAAATGGTCTCCGCTGGTTTACGTGAGATCCGCAACGGTATTAATGACGGTCTCTTTACAGCGAACTATCCTGGTGAAGAGAACTGGGCCATTGCGCATCGCATTCTTGTTCCTGCGTTTGGTCCGCTCATGATTCGCGGCATGTTTGATGGTGGGTGTCTCTTTCTCATCGTGGTTAAGACTTGGGCGCCAGGTATGGAAGTGAAAGAGTTTGGGCTAATTTTTGCATTCAGAAATGTATGATATTGCCACTCAACTGGTTATGAAATGGGCTCGGGTTGGCCCTGCGGTTCCTATCCAGGTCACGGATGACTTCACCCGGTTAACGCTGGATACAATTGCTCTTTGCGCTATGGGCACTCGATTCAACTCGTTCTATCATGACGAGATGCACCCATTCGTTGAGGCAATGGTTGGTTTGCTAGCTGGGTCTGGAAATCGTGCTATGAAGCCTGCTTTGTTAAACAGCCTACCCACTACGGAAAACAACAAGTACTGGAGTGATATAGAGTATCTACGGAACCTAGCCCGGGAACTAGTCGATTCGCGAAAGGAGAATCCCGTCGAGAAAAATGACCTCCTCAATGCACTCATCCTCGGTCGCGACCCGCAGACTGGCCGGGGTATGACAGACGACTCAATTATAGACAACATGATCACTTTCCTCATTGCTGGTAAGTAGAGAGGCCCTTCAACGGGCGCATTATCTCGGTCCTAACTTGGAACTTTTTTAGGACACGAGACCACATCTGGCATGTTGTCATTCTTATTCTACTATCTTCTCAAGAGCCCGAGCGCATACAAGAAGGCCCAAGAAGAAGTCGACCATGTGATTGGCAAACGCAAGATCACTGTCGATGACATGTCTAAGCTGCCATACATCACCGCTGTGATGCGCGAGACGCTGCGTCTGAAACCAACAGCCCCAATGATTTCCCTGCACCCCCACCCTACTAAGAACCAGGAGGATCCTATTACACTTGGAGGTGGCAAATATGTGCTCAATAAGGACGAGACCATTGCACTCATGCTTACCAAAATGCACCGCGACCCGAAGGTCTACGGCCCCGACGCCGATGAGTTCAAGCCAGAGCGGATGCTTGAGGAAAACTTTGAGAAGCTCCCCAAGAACGCATGGAAGCCATTTGGAAATGGCATGCGAGGCTGCATCGGACGACCGTTCGCGTGGCAGGAGGCTCTCCTTGTTGTTGCTATATTGCTGCAGAACTTCAATTTCCAGATGGACAACCCCAGTTACGATCTCCGCATCAAGCAGACCCTTACCATCAAGCCCAAGGACTTCCATATGAAGGCTACCCTGAGAAATGGACTTGACCCTACGCAACTCAACACTACTCTTAGTGGCTCTGTTGCTGCGCCCACAGAGACTGGTGCCGGTAGCCGGGATCGTAAGCCCAAGGTCGCACCCGCGGATGGCAAGCTAAAGCCGATGCACGTGTTCTATGGCAGCAATACGGGAACTTGTGAGGCATTCGCCCGCAGACTGGCTGATGATGCCACTGCATACGGGTACGCTGCACAGACAAGCTCTTTGGATTCAGCCATGCAGAATATCCCCAAGAACGACCCCGTGGTATTCATCTCGGCTACCTACGAAGGAAAGTCTCCGGATAACGCCGCTCATTTCTTCGAGTGGCTCAGTGGGCTGAAGACCAACGACCTGGACGGTGTCAACTATGCAGTGTTTGGATGTGGCCACCATGACTGGTCATCAACCTTCTACCGTGTCCCCAAGGCCATCGACCAGCTAGCCAAGGAGAATGGAGCTAATAGGCTCTGCGATATCGGTCTTGCTGATGCAGCAAATTCAGACATGTTTACGGATTTTGATGGCTGGGGTGAGACCTTACTCTGGCCGGCTGTGATGGCTAAATTTGGTGGAGCTAGCCCTGAAAATGCCGCCAAGACGAAGTCTTCATTGCAGGTCGAAGTGAGCTCAGGCATGCGCGCCTCTACCCTGGGTCTCCAGCTCGAAGAGGGCTTGGTCATTGAGAACAAGGTCCTTACGCCGCCCGGAGCCCCGGCCAAACGAGTGGTCAAGTTCAAGCTGCCGTCTGAAATGACCTACCAGTGCGGTGATTACCTTGCAGTGCTGCCAGTTAATCCGAGCTCTGTTGTCCGTCGCGCAATCCGCCGCTTCGACCTCCCCTGGGACGCCATTATCAAAGTGCAGAAGCCCTCAGGCTCAACAGCTTCCCCCTCGATCCCCCTCGACACGCCGATCTCAGCCTTCGAGCTCCTATCCACCTACATCGAGCTATCCCAACCCGCCTCGAAGCGTGATATTAACGTCCTAGCCGACGCTGCCATTTCCGATGCGGAACTTCAAGCTGAACTACGCTACCTCGCCTCCAGCCCCAGCCGCTTCACCGAAGAAATCGTCAAGAAGCGCGTCAGCCCACTAGATCTCCTAACTCGCTATCCTCAAATCAAGCTTCCCATTGGCGATTTCCTCGCAATGCTTCCACCAATGCGCGTGCGACAATACTCCATTTCCTCATCACCGCTAGTCGACCCATCCGAATGTTCGATAACCTTCACCGTCCTCAGCGCTCCGGCACTCGCCAATGATACCGCCGTAGTCAGCGAAAACATCGAGCAATACCTGGGCGTTGCATCAAACTACCTCTCCGAGCTCCAAGCTGGCGAACGCGCACACATTAGCGTCCGTCCCTCGCATTCAGGCTTCAAGCCGCCAGTGGACCTCGAAACACCAATGATCATGGCCTGTGCCGGTAGTGGTCTCGCACCGTTCCGCGGCTTTGTCATGGACCGCGCGGAGAAGATCCGCGGCCGCCGCAGCTCGCCTGACTCGAATGAGTTGCATGACAACGAGGCGATCCTGCCCGCCAAGGCGGTGCTGTACATTGGCTGCCGCACGCAGGGCCAAGATGACATTCACGCCGGCGAACTTGCAGAGTGGGCTAAGCTCGGCGCTGTCGATGTCCGCTGGGCATATAGTCGACCCGCCGACGGAAGCAAGGGACAGCACGTTCAGGATCTTATGCTTGAGGACCGTGTGGAGCTGGTAAAAATGTTTGAAGAAGGTGCCAACATCTATGTTTGCGGTAGCACTGGTGTTGGTGCTGGTATTCGCGAGGCTTGCAAGCAGATGTATCTCGAGAAGCGCCGGGCGAGACACGCTGAACTTGAGGAGAAGGGCGAGACTCCACCCGGGGCTGAGCTTGATGAGGATAAGGCTGCTGATCTGTTCTTTGAGAATTTGCGAACAAACGAGCGGTATGCTACCGATGTGTTTACTTAGTTTAGCGGCTTTTTGCAGTTTGAATTCTATCATGGTTGCGGGTTCATCACTTCCTAGTTCCGCCCTGTAGCATTGCCGTCGAAAATGGTCGCTTTCGAGGCCACAAACGGCAGCCTTCAGGCTCTGAACTTGAGGTATCTTCGGTGGCTTATGCAGGATGTGGAGTACGAAGGTAAACTATACGATGGGATGCCCCTTCGAGACGATTCATTGGCTGAGCCGGCAGCTGATCACTGATAATAGTATGCTGGCCGGTTTACCCCTACCCCTTGCAGTGCTATTCATCCTATGTGATTTTATCGTTCACAGTCGAACCCCTATTTTTCAATTTGATTAGTGCTAAGATATCACAAGCTGGACCTGATCAGTAGATACAGAGACAGACAGCTCGTTAAACTCACTCGGAAGTAGATCGTGGCCTGAACCCTAAGGCGGAGACTGGCAACCAATCAGAATGTAGTTCCTAGTAGAATACCAACACGTGACCGCTACACACTTCACGGTCAACAACCAATCAGATCACTGGCTGAGAGTCCAGGCCGATGCGAGAAAGAGAAAGATGCAAACTTTGGAGTGTCTCATGTTCATTTTTGGCATCAACGTACGGAGTACTTGAAATCCATTTTGAAAACCGGGGCGTCTGATCTCCCTCGAATCTCACATCCCAAAACCCCCATTGGCCGCCAATGTCAACTTTGCGCTAAAACAGAGTCGGATGGCGTGATAGAGTCAATCGTTCCCAAGATATTCCCATTTGGAGTGTTCTGCCGAGACAACGTTGGACGTTAAATAGTGGCTTTATATACCAGTCTTACCAAAACAAAACCCTTAAGATTACACCATGTCGCAGATCAAGAGCATCGCCATCATCGGGGCCGGTCCTGCGGGCGCCATTGCAGTCGATGCACTAGCACAAGAGAAATCATTCGATATCATCCGTGTATTTGAACGACAGGAGAAAGCCGGCGGTTGCTGGTATGTTAATGTTCCCTCTAATGCATTTGAAAAATCCCTGCTCTTAACAAACAATAGGGTATCAAGGGATGACGAGCCACCACGGCAGTTCGACTTTGATGGTTTATCTTCACGAACAGCAGATGCACCTCTCAAAATTCCCGAGAACCTCCCGTGTCGGACGCCTGGAATCTCCCAGGATCGGTTCACGGACTCACCTGTGTACCCGACCCTGGAGACCAATGTGAACGCGGGAGCCATGTCGTTCTCCCAAGAGGAGATTCCTGTAGTTCGATCGCAGTGGTCGATTGAGCGTCATGGTGCAGACACGCCTTTCCGGCACCATTCCGTCATCCGGAAGTATATTGAGGACCTGCTCAATCGGAAAGGGTATCAACATCTGGTGCAGTATAACACTACTGTTGAACGCGCGATCAAAGATTCCACCAGCCAGAAATGGGTGCTGACGCTCCGCAGGACGGAAATTCTGGATGGTGCCAAATCGGATTACTGGTGGTCTGAGGAGTACGATGCAGTTGTAGTGGCTTCGGGTCATTACGCAGTACCGTTTATACCTGCGATTCCCGGCTTAAAGGAGTTTGCTGGAAGATTTCCCGGCAGTGTTGAACATACAAAGCAATATCGGGGGCCTGAGAAATATCGGGGGAAGGTAACTGATGTTTTTACCATGTCATTCCATCACCCGCTTACATATCGCAGAAAGTCATCACCGTCGGAGCATCTGTTTCTGCCGCCGATACGGCCGTGAGCCTGGTTGATAGTGCTCAATCCCCCGTCATTGCTGTGGTTCGTGGTCGTTACAACGCCTATTTCGGAGACCTCGCTTTCCAGCACCCTAAGATCCAGCGTCGCCCGCCCATCTCACAAATTACCAGCAATGAGCAAGGCGAACGAACCGTGCATTTCGAAGACGGTACCTCTGAAACCGGGGTCGACCATCTGATTTTTGGAACTGGCTTCAGCTGGACACTGCCTTTCTTGCCTCAGGTGGCTACGCGGAACAATCGTGTGCCGGATCTCTACCAACATGTCTTTTATCGACCTGATCCATCCCTGGTTTTTATCGGCGCTGTGAGTTTATCACGCTGAAGTTTCTCGTCCCCCCCCCCCCCCCCCTCCCTGGATCCAAAGCTAACAAATCCCCTCAGGTTGGTGCGGGGTTGACCTTCAAAGTATTTGAATGGCAGGCCGTCGCTGCGGCACGCGTTCTGGCCGGCAAAGCCAACCTGCCCTCAATTGCCGAGCAGGAAACATGGGAAACCGACCGCATTGCCCAGAAAAGCGATGGAGCGGGGTTCACAGTCCTCAATCCCGACTTCGAGCCCTACTTCGAGAGCCTCCGCGAACTTGCGGGAGAACCTCGTGGTGGAGTAGGGCGGCGTCTACCTCGGTTCGAGCAGAAATGGCTGTCTGATTTCAACGAAGGCCATGAGCGCCGAAAGAAAATGTGGCGGCGAGCCAATCAAACCGCTCGGCTGTAAATCTGAGTGTAAGGGTTAATGCTCGCGAGGGGGTTAAGGAGTCCTCCATCCTCTGTAGATAGCAAGACGTGCAACAGGCGTAGATATTGAATAACAAAGCAAGGAGAAAGGAGAAACCGAATGATCAGTTTTCCACCTTCCCTTCGTGTCTCAGGTTAGCACTTACCTAGATTAAGTACACCAATGGGGTCAAAACAGTCCCAGTAGCTGAATGCTCTAGGTCGACTCCACTTCTCTGGCCAATATCCCCAACGGCATTACCGGCTTGGCGCTTTTCCCTCCCCCTCCCTCCCCCCGTGTTCAGGAGTTGCCTAAAAAGAGACCTTGGGGACATTGCGATTTTCTTTTTGCCTTTTAGAATTCCCGATTGTCCTCTCACAGGCCCTCCAACTATCTCTTCCCTCTTCGAACCAACATCTTCTCCATGAACTACGATCGACTGCATATCCCCCCGCCCTAAATAAAAAGCTAAAATCCTGTTCCGTCGCGTCAAATATACCGGACTGGATCACCCCGGCAAACACAAACCATGACACCTCCTATAACGAGTGACTCCAACGGCACGCATTTCACGCAGCCGCCTGAATGCTACAACTCGCGCGACGCGGTCTCTGTCATTCCCTCCAATGTCGAATATTATAATCAAGTCCCGCTATACCAGACGAAAGACCACCACAGAGACATGAAGGCTGTTCTGCAGTCTTGTTGTATGAATGGGGTGTGGATTACTGAGGATCCGGATCCTTGTACGGCAATCTGTGATTCGAGGACGTCGGCTGAGGCGAAGAAAGTGATGTACTGCTTGAATGCTCAACAGGTTGTACATGGAACCAAAACGGAGAAGATTTCGGGAGCTGTCAGGCGTCCAGCGGTGGGCTGGGTGTCTTGGATGGTTGGGGGAATGCTTCTGTCAGGGATGTTAATTTGATGGGAGGGGAGAGGTTTGATATTGTTGCATTTTGAGATACCCATTAGTGATTTATGCCGTTTGAGAGGTGAACATGGTGCTGCATATTACTTCCAATAAAGCTGATACAAACCAGAAACTCGTAGAGGTAGTCAATTTGAACTAGACCAAGTCTGGATTCAATGAGCCTTGTCCCGATCCGAGAGTTTTGTTCCATGGACGCTTGTTACATGAAGCACTCAGACTCAAGGCCCTCGTCAATACGCCAATTATCAGTTCGGGAGATTCAAGCCTTGGAAACATGCAGTCATTGGCAAAAGCAACTGATGCACTGGTCAAATCAGCGCTTTCAGCCTCAAAATGCAAGTCACTCTGATTCCAGGGACACGTGAATCAGACTTGAAGGTATCCCCAGCAGAGAAAAGGAGAACAGCATGACACCATCATTCATGAAATTGAACATCTGCAGGTGGAATTCTTCCAACGCATTTCGAGAATTCTAGCCAAACTCCGTCACGTCGGTAAATCGACGAGCTTTCAACTCAGTCTCTAGGCCCGGAGACGCTCTGGTAGATGCTTCGTGTGTGCTAGTGAAAGAGTATGTCCTGCAAGTACAGATGCACAAATGACCAATGGGGCTCAGGGGTTCGACACTCAACGATGCCTGAATACCACCATTTAGGCTATTGTCTACAATGCAACTCGAACATACCCGGACATATCCCCAGATTAGCCACGGAGCATGTCCGACCCCAAGTGATTCCCGCCATGATTCAACGCCTAGGTCACATCCATAGAATCCGACATGTGCAACCTGTAAAAGCCACTCTCTCCCCAATGCATGAAATGCCTCACTATCCTCCAAACCAAGCCCAGAACCAACAAAATCACCCCAGAGATGGACTCCGTCAAAGGCAAAGTGTACGCCGTAACCGGCCTCGGCGGAATCGGACTAGCCGTAGCACGCCAACTACACTCCCAAGGAGCTCTCGTCGCCCTCGCAGACCTAAGCGAAAAGGTCCTCTTCACAGCGAGACAGACGATCGAAACCGAATTCGGGTCCTCAACAGCCTCGACAGTCACAACAACCGTATTGGACATCGGCGATGTTCACGCCGTACAAGACTGGATCGGTAACACGGTCTCGCACTTCGGCCGACTGGACGGCGCGGCTAATATGGCCGGCACGATTGGCAAGCAACACGGTACCGGTAAACTCGTCGACCAGGATGACGCCGAGTGGGATATGCTGATGCGTGTCAATGTCACTGGGTTGATGTACTGTTTGCGGGCGCAGCTGAAGGCCATTACTGCCACTGCGCCCGGGGGAAAGGGTAGTATTGTGAATGCATCGAGTATTCAGGGGCTCAAGGGGTTTGCGTTGCATGCAGCGTATTCGACTACGAAGCATGCTGTTTCTGGGTTGACGAAGTCGGTTTCGAAGGAGGTTGGGCCCGAGATTAGGGTCAATGCTGTTGCGCCGTGCGTATTTGATTTCAGTGGTTTTCTTGGTGGATTGGACTAAGTGAGTTGTGTTAGTGGTTCTATTCAGACGCCTTTACTTGACAGGGCGCAGGAAATCCAGGGCGGGATTAGTATTCCGCCGGCTAGTATCCCACGTATCGGGAAAAGCGAGGAGGTTGCCCAGACGGTTGTTTTCTTGCTCAGTGATGCCTCGTCGTATACGACTGGACAGATTCTTAGTGTGGATGGTGGGTGGGAATGAGGTTGTGATTTCAAGGGCACGCAGCAAGGGCGAGGTCATGAAATGATGGGTTTGGCGCCATGGCTTAATTTGTCAATGACATACTTTGATGACAACGAAAGGAATGAATGGTTCTCTAGATAAGAGATATTTATGCTGGAAATCCATTCAAGCGCTACTGCTCTGATGTGTGGAAAATTCGCCGAAAACACACCAAGGGGCATGAAGGTATTGATGTAAGAAACAGGGCAGGAACACTGCTCAGATTATCTGCACAGCAGTAGATTCCAAGTCAGATATGAACCAAGAGTAGACATAGATTGGAAGTTGTCCTCTTACTAAAGATGACTACTAGATAACCCCAGCCAGTCCAGGTCCATAAACCAACGCAGAAGTGGTTGTGGCATTTGGGCCTCCAGCAGGCACTGGCCTTAATCCTCATGCCAAGATTTTGAGGAGAATTTAACTGGTGGGCTGGCGGATTAGATGTGATCAGATCCTGATACACACGGCTATTCTTCTCTCTTGAATCAATGGGGGTTAGAATGGCCAATGAAGTGAAAAGGGAAAGCGCAGGTGATTTGCCTGACTGCATGTTATGCTCAAAGCCTCTTGCGAGTTTTGTAGTTCTTCCAAACACACTGCAAAATGGCCTACAAAGGTTGTGTATATCCAGCATCGGCCTTGGTCCTCGATCTGCAAGGCCAGTTCATTATTAAACATCGTCTCCACATTCAGCTGCATTGCAGATCAATACCCAATAGTGGTTCATGCTATTGGGCAAAAGCTCTTTGAAACACACAACTGTCAAAGTTTGAGAAAGATAGTTCCATACATGGCCCGGCTTTACGAGTAAGCGTGCGATGAAGAATCCGAGCTAAGTATGGCATTGGCCTTTCCCCTGAGTTTGAGATGCATTCTTCGGAAGCCGTCAATCCTGATACCTCCAATCATGATCTCATGGTGGATCCGACCGATTGACAACATTCATGATTACGCAACAAGATGTGAATGATTGCATTGGGATGGCTGGGTTTTCTGAAATTCACTGTGGGTATTCCGTAAGCAAGTCCAAGTATGTACAATGGCAGGGACAGGGCGTAGCAAATGTAGAAAAAATCAGACGTATATCGTACAGTTTCAGGATTAAGGGTTGAAGTCTGATCGAACCGCCCTGCTCAACAGGGAAACGTCATGCTTGTCAGATCCTCCCAATCAAAGATCTCCAAGAACGGATCGAACTCGCCAGGCGACTGGAACCTCATAGTCAGCACGAAAGAAGGCGAGAAACAAAACGAACATGGAACTCACTATCACGCCAGGCTGCGGCGGCGGTTGAATCCCATTGGGATCAAATTCGGGCTGCATCACAGGCACCATTGTTGGAGCCGCCATGAATGCGGCCAGCTGGTTGTTTTTGAAACTGCCCATCCCCTGGTCGCCGAGGTGATCACAGTTCATGTGCCGATCGAAGAGAATCTGCGCAAACGACAGGACCCGCTTGACGACCTGCTGCTTGTACATGGTTGCCTGTGCCGGCCAGAGTCGGGATTTGACTAGTGCCACGATCGTTGAGAGGAAAGAGTAGTCTTTTGCCCCCTTTGTAATCAAAAGAGAGCGCTCTTCAAAGGCAACTAAGACCGTTTCTACGAGTGATAGGAGTGATTCGGGGATACCGGGAATATTGTGGAGATTAAAGCTTGACGAGAGGGGATGGGAAGGGGAAGCTGAATAGTGTGAGTTTGGGCTCTCATGACCAAGTATTGGATTATAGGACAAACTTACAGGTGTCGAATTCGGTTGTGTGTAGCGATTGGCAGATGGAAATGTAGGCTTGGATGGTCCATTCACCAAGCGTACATAACGATAGAGTTCGCGAGATCTCGTTTAGCCGGCGCTGGCTTGACAGTATCCTGGTTGCGGCATCCATGCGAGTACGCGCGGAGGGTGCAAAAAGTGATTCTCGCCGTGCTTCAATGGCAAAAGGGGTGTGGACAGACAGGAGAGATTGGCAAAGTTTGGTCTCAATCAACCCTTTCCACAATATTACTTTATGTTGGGTGACGATATCGTTGGTTTCGGCTGTTGTCCACGCGGGAATCCGAGAAAGATGCCGATTGAGCTCGCCGTCCAGGCGCTGAATATCCTCATATCGACAGCTGATCCGTGGGGAGTGCATGAGGGAACAAGCTTGAAGACGAAGAGGTAGCGAGCAACACAGGATAGACTGGAACGATGAGTCGGTAACTTCACTCAGTGGCCGGCTTTCAGGGGCTTCAGTGCTGTTCTCGTGGATCTCGTCGTCGAAAATGTTCAGCCCCGGAGCTACATCATAGTCAAAGGTTTGTACTGACGGCGGCATTCCCCGATCAAGAGCAATTTGCAGGTCCATTTCCACGATGGTTATCCAGATTCGCCGTCGCATCTCCTTGTTGAATACAGAGATCCGTGTGTAACGACTTGGGTCGCGGTGGTAGCCTGCCATCATGGCTTGCTTAACCAATGTGCTTGTTGCGAGCCAAGCCTGACTGCGTTTCATTCCGTGGGAGTTGTGCGCCAAAATCAATAAAATAGAGAGTCGCAGTGAGTTAATTTCAGGACGCTTGGTGTGGAGATTCTCAATCCATTTTCCTGCGTGTAATGTCCACTCCACCGCAGACTGGCACTTAAGTTCGCCCGCACTTTTTGCCTGCAGGCTAGCAAGGTCTGCAAGGTTCCATGCACAGGCAAGGACCAATAATAGTTGAACTGCAAATGCAGCAGATGTTGAGGCCGGGCTGTCTAACATGGCCCAGAATTGGTCAAGCTCTCGTAAGAAAGATGGAACGTGAAGAATGCGGTGAGTGAACTCGATATGAGTGATATACAACCGAACCAGCTCATCAACCACAGCACGCGAGGGTAGCAAGTTTATTAGTGAAGCGGTAGTAGGGTCGGGAAAGGATTGATTGAGCACCATAAGTTTGAATAGACCGCCCTTGACTCTTCTTAGATCCGGCTGAAGTTGGGTGAAGATCGGGGCAGAAAGCCTGATCTCCTCTGCAAATGACTTAATATCCGGAAACTACGACTGTGTCAGCCTCCACGTTTGATTGCTCACGTTGGCAATTGAAATCTAAAGGGCGGGGGCAGACCTGTGCTACTAGACTAGCAAAGATGCCCGATCCACTAAATCGTGTTTTAGTTTCACGGCCCCTCATCATCATGCGAGGGGCGAGGTCCAGCTGATCCGTAGGCGACAATGGGGCTTCTTCTTCGTCAACGTGCGCATCGTCGACCTGCGACGGTATTTGCATACCCAGCTCCGATGCAGGTGCTAGGCGCTTGGGACGATGTAAAATACTCGTGTTTACGTAGGTTTCCTGATTAACAGCAGCCTTAGGAGCACCGAGAACGGTTTCCAAAAAACAGTCCTTTCGCTCTCTGTCATGTGGCTGACCTCTGTAGGGCGGCGCAAGAGCATGCCCCATAAGACCATGATATTCGTGATGCATTGGACCGCCGGCCATAGCCCTGCGAGGTGGTTCACTAGTTGGGAAAGATTCTGTCCGAGTTGACCCCGTCGGTATCCCCGAATCCCGAGGTGTGTCGACTGGGGTATCTCGGGGCATAGATACCACGGTCCCTCGGTCAGGAGCAAATGCAGTGGTTGTGACTGTGCTAGGCTGCTGCCATAAAAAGCCATCTTCATATGTGCATTTGCTAGGGGTTCTGCTCTTCAAACAGCGACTGCAACTAGGATACTCGCGATCGCATCGCAACTTACGCGTGCGACACTGCGTGCACGCCATTGTGCGGCGGCGGCGCTTGCGCACGCGGTCAGGCTGTGCGCTCCCTTGAACATCCATGTTCTCGGTGTAGTAGAAGAGCTTATATTTATGAGAGATTCTTACGTCCGAGATGTTGGGAAAGTCTCGTGGGAATTGGCTCCAATTTCGGCTTACGTAGTCCCGCACTGCGCCCGTGGAACCGCCAAATGCGGAAGGTCTGACCGACGTTGTCGTTTTTGTTTTTTTGTTTTTTTTTTTTTGTTTTCTTAAATTTCTTTGCTTTTCATCTCTTCATACATCGCTCAAATAATGAAAGAATGGAGAATTTCTCAACGTATCCTGTGTTTCGTCAGGACATCATTCACTATCTCTTTTGGTGTAGATTCTCCTAGACCCACAAAATTCCAGTCCCGAACGTTCCGTGAACACACCGGAGTCCCGCCAAGGGATCGTCAGCAAACTTGGTCTCAGCGACAATGACGGGAGTTTGTCTTCCTGACTTCACACTTAGGAACCAGAGTCATTTCAAGTCTTAGCGCAAATGATTCAAGCATTGGGGATGGACAACGACATGCGATAATCTCGATGTCGGTCAGGTTCCGAATGAAGAGAATTGCCATGATTGCTGCCAAGGTCCAGATAACTACTGCCACCACGGAGCATATGTTGTACACGTTGATGAGACCTGATTCCCTTGGTTTGCCCGCCATGTTTCTATGAGTAACCACGTAGTATTCGGTGCACAGATGGTTGTTTCACTTGATTGATACTCCCGGAATGGGACTATGCGAGTCGGGCTTGGAAATACCCGACCCCCATGTTTGGTCGGGTTTCAAAGTCAGTTACATCAATGTTCTCTACTTTTGTAGCCGACAATCATCTATCTTACTTTGCTTTAAACAAGAATTTCGATGCGATACACTAGCAGAGGTGGCGAGGTTAAGACAGTCTTTTGTCTCGCATTATCGCAGACAGTTCAGAACGTGTTCTTTTGCAAAGACATTGCTAAAGTTGATGCCGATCTTGCGTTATAGACTTCCGTGGATCTAAAAGGGCAGTGCTTTTGGTAGGTACCTAGGTACACATCATCGCGATCAAAGAATTTCCAGTGAGCTTTGGTGTAAAGGGAGTCGGATGTGATGTAGATTAAACACATGGACGGTAATTGGCCGCGAGTCTCTACAGCGTTAGACTAAAAAGACTAGCCCCAAGTTTAAATGTGCGGTCGAATGAATCATTTCCACATACCATGTTGTATATGAGATGAGAGACTCTGGTCTGGAGATAACCCTGGAAGCTCGGGGTTCGGGCTTTTGACCCGACTCGGCTCGGGGCATAGCTCGGAGATACTGGAGTCTCTCTATATATCAACCTCCAAATCTCCAGGCAACCTTTAATTTGAGAAACGCTTCCTGGACTAAGCTTTCACAGTTTTGCCTTTCATCTATCAACCTTGCCTTCACAGTATTATCACACCTTCGACCATGTTGCGTTCCTTGCTTTCCTTTGGCCGCACAGGCACCAACGACTACCTATTTCCCAAAGTGGATCCCAAGGAGGACGGCCCCGAATGTTTAAAGGACTGCGCTGACTGCACCGTACAATTTCCGGCAAAAGTGAAAGTTGAGACCTCGAAGCCTCTGTATGGAGAAATCAAAGAATTTCATGCCCACGTTCTCGTCGCAACCGGGCAATCCAACTGGAAGGAAAAGAACGTCGAAAATACGAAAGGAAGTTTAATGGAAGCATTGGACGCGGCAAAATCAGACCATGGTGTAAGCTCCCAGATTCAGATCTAGCCTACCTCTGCTGATACTCGACGTAGCGCATTACGGTCTTGGCATCAAACCTCACTCCTCCAGAAGAATCAACGACAGATGATAGTTCCAAACAAGCCACCACAGTACTAATTCTACCATCATTCACATTTGTTGATTCCGTCACACAAGCAGATGTTCCAGACCTGGTATCCAGATACATCGACCACCCCGCAGCCCAGCAAAATGGAAACAGTATCATTTCTCCCGCGAACGGGATGAGCGCTCGGCCTTGTGAACTTGACTACGTGATACTACTATGCTCACACGCACGTCGAGATGCGCGCTGTGGTATTACAGCACCACTGATCAAGCGCGAGCTGGAGCGACATCTCCGTCCGCTAGGACTGGACCGAGATGCGGATGACTCCCGAGCTGGCGGGGTGGGCATCTTCTTTGTGTCGCATGTCGGCGGGCACAAGTTCTCTGCGAATGTGTTGATTTATCGCAAGAAGGATCAACAGATGATTTGGCTTGCACGTGTACGGCCTGAGCATTGTGAGGGCATTGTTAAGTACACTGTTCTGCAGGGAAAAGTTGTGCACCCAGAGTCACAGTTGAGGGGAGGGTTTGATCGGGTGAGGGGGTTGACGAGCTGGTAATTGGAACATGGTGGTGCTAGGTCTGGCTTTGACTCAAATAATGATCCTTAATGTATATCCATCGCGAGAGGGATGAGAAAGCCAAGGTCTTTGGGTTAGAATTGAGATTTGCATTGTGTATGTATCAGATAGCTTTCGCACTTTTTCCCTCTTCTGCATATTACGTAGAGCCTAGGAACCACAACGACCAATCCAAAGCTTTAGTTCCTACATCACAGGTTCCAAGATTAGTCCAAGTCTTTGAGCTGCACCTGCAGCATCAATGTAGAATTCCATTGGAAAATGCGGCATCAAGCTGAGCCTTCCACTATGAATGCTGCCCATGAAGGATTTTCCACTTGCATGAGCGAGAGACAATTTACACAGAATAATTCGATCTCGCAAGTCGGCAATCGGTCCATCATTGCTTGATTGAAAAGTCGTACCCATCGGGTGTCTAGATGTCCCAGTCTACCCAGACAGATGCAGCTCAGATAGAATCGGAGGATTAGGCAAAGAGGAGAAAAACCATTGCTTTGAGTCTTCTGTGCCTTCATCTTGAAGATTCAACTCCTGCGTCTTAGTTTGTCTTGCAAAACAAACATCAATCAACTCTCACACCAAATGGGCGTTGACCAAAACTTTACTGATGATAGCGCCAGCAAAATCGTTAGCTAGCCAGTATTTCTCTGGCTTCAGGATGAATCTTTCGCCTTGTTTCAAAGGAACCTGGTCGTGTGCTTTTAAAAATTTTACAGCGTTTGCTGGGTTTGCCTTTGCTTTGCTTAGCGAGAAGAAAGTTTCGCTCATCCCGAGGGGGCCCCAGATGTGTTTCTTCATATAAGTTCCGAATGCTTCACCGGTACGTTACTACAGTGCTCGAGATACAACTACGTACATACAATGGCTGTAGTGGATTTGGTGCATGGCGGTGCCGCGAGGGCATGTATTGCATCGTGCGGACCACCGGCGTTGCGTCCTGCTTTACAAGGCTCCAGGTATGCTCTGGCATACCTAACCTATGCGATAGCACATCTTCAGGTGTGCAATTTTTGGTCGCGTCGTCCTTCTCCAAGATTAAGTCTTCTAGAATTAGGGAAGCCACAGCCGTGTTCCAGTCGATCGGGGACTTAATGGCCTTGCCTTCTTGGCTTGCCATGAATGTCACAGCACTGGTAAAAGCCTTGGTAGTGTTAAAAGGTGCGAACAATTCATCGTTTGTCATCTCCCGGGGTGGTCGATCAGTAGGGTTGTTTAGGACTTCTGCCTTTCCATACGCCTGTACTCTGTGAGGATTGGATAAATCAGGTGAATAGTTGGGATTACCTTAGTATAGCGCCTCCAGTATGATCGCTTCTGGTGGATTGGATCCTTCATTCAGTTGCAGGAGATGGTACGGACCTCCAATGATTGCAACGCCCTATTCCGTTGGCACGGACTTGGACGACACTTAATAGTCAAATTCGTTTGGTTGGGTCCTTCACCAGCCTGAGCTTGCACGACACCCATTTCGGTACGTAGTATAAAGATCTCAAGGGGATAATGGAGTGGTCAATTTAATTGAGATGGCCTTTTCTCATCTTAGACAGACATGTTCATAGGTGGTAGGTTGGTTAGGTAAGATCATGAGATCTGGATACCCCGTAGTCAATCACTGGAAGACGGCACCAGGTAGTAAAAATTCAAAACAATATGAAGGTGTTTACCAGAAGATTTCAGACAAATGCAAGTCGCTGCGTTACTGCGGAGCAAAACAGTGGCACAGGAAATGTGGATCCGCTGCAACCAATATTCCGATAGTTAAAGACGAATTAGACGCCGTTGAACAAGATCCACACCGAATCTCTAATCTCATCATGACATCGATAGAAAAGGAAATAGGGCCTTCTCCTTCATAGAGTCATGTCATCCTTAGTGCAGGAGCCATTCAGTTTCTCTATAAAATTCGTTCTCACACTACGTCACGAAGGGTGAAATATGGAGATCAATGTAGTACTCTCTTAAGTGAAAACACACCGCCTTCCTAATTAATCGAGACAGCTGGTAGCCGTGGCAAAATTGGACCGCCTGCCAGTTTGGTCTGACAATATTTGATATAGTTCGCGTCGCGTGACGCGCTTCGCGGCCAGACTGCTCTTCTTCCAGGTTGTCTCGTATCACAGACAATGCAACAATGACCGACAACGTTCTTGCTTCCAGTGCTGAGGTCGGTGCTCAAGCTATCAATGTTCGCGCAGAATTGAAAACATGGGAGAAAGCCTTCTCGTCAGCCAATGGGGGCCGCAAAGCCGGTCGCGATGATATCAAACAAAACGCGGATATTGGTATGTCAAGATTGATAGTCTTTACCTTTAATGACACGAATCATTAACGTAGCCCTTTAAATCCATTAGCGGCAAAATATAAGGAATACAGTCGTCTCAAGGCCCTTGAGGCATCCCTAAGCCGACGCGAAAACAGTCTACAGGAGCCATATGAAAGTCACTCGAAAAAGCGGAAACATGCATCTCCCCCCAGTCAAGATAGTGTATATCTCCAAGTCACACCCCGCAAATCGTCTAGAGGACTCTTTGCCACTCCCTCCAACAGTCGCACCAAGCACCATCCTGCACAGCTTGATCCGTACGACTCGCCGTCGACTCTTCGCAGACTCTTTAGTCCCAGTACCCATCGCCAAGGACCACCAGCGCCGTCACCACTCAAGGCCGCAATTGGACCTACGCCTCAGCGGGATGGAAAGACACTGGGCCTGTTCGACATGCTATCTGAATCTGGTGGGAGCGGTGGAACGCCTTCCGCAGCAAGGCATACAAATAATCTAGCTGCCGCGTTCCGAACACCCTCCAAAAAAAGGCCCATGAACACGATGCCCGAGGTTCCTGAAGAAGAGCCTCAGCAGGAGACGCCCAGGCTTGCGCGAACCCCTGCGTCTGAGACAAAACAATTCTATCTTGCAAATCTATTTGCAACACCGACGACGATGCGATATTCTGCCATGGTGGAAGCGGATGACAATGTAGATGCGCAGAAGATCAATTTGTTAAACCTGGTGCCCGAAATTCCACCCCAAGAAGCGCAGTCTGGCACACCTTTTTTTCTCCGTCGCTCGAACTCTGGTCGATATCCCCCACCTAGCGCAACGCAAGGTGGCCCAGGACTCAGTCCTATTGCTTCGCGCAAGCCGCAAAGATTCGCCAGCAAGGGGCTAACGCATTTGGTCCAAGGACTGCGCGACATGGAGGAGGATCGTATGGAAGACGACTGGGAAGTGATGCGTGAGATGGAAGAAGAGGCAGAGGCGGAAGAAGCTGCCAAGATTCAGGTTGAGGATAGTCAAGGACCAGATGTGAACCGGAAGTACAAGAAAAAGGGCCAGAAGCGGACTACACGAAGAGTGACTATGAGGCCGGTTATCCATCAACCGAAGCCCAAATCAAGCCCAGCTCCTGCAACGGATGAGAACTGGGAAGGCGAGGATGATGTTACAGCAGTTCCAGAGACGCAACAGCCACCTGCTGGTAATGACGGCTGGGACGATGTCCCGAGCGACATTGAGCGGGCAGATGAAGCCGCTTCCCTTCATACCATGTCGGAGCCAGAGCTTGATACTGAGGCTGACTTTGATCCGGACTCGGACGATGATCCTGAATTTGGAGAAAAGCTAAAGCCTGTGCCCAGACCCAAGACTTTCTCCGAGAGAATCAAGGAAGCTGTTTTGTCCTCTGCTGCGGAGCCACAGGAACAAGAACCGTTGGGTCAACCTCTGAAGAAGCCTTCAGAGACTGCTGAAGCAAAAAAAACCTCGTGCCCGGAAGATCAATCCTCAAGCTCATGCGAACTATCGATCGATAAACATCAACAGGGGAGGTCCCTCGCGGGGCAGAGGGCGTTTCCGCCGGAAGTAAGAACCGGGCAGCGCGGCGAGCTTTCATGAAGTTACGACTACATTCACACGTTCTTATTTAGCTTATATAGCACTTCCCATTTCAGACATTCATGGCGTATCGAAACCATCGAACTTTCCACCGCACTTGTCCAGACCCAAGAACTATGTGCTAAACACTGAAACAATCGATCCTGCAATCCGAAACCATAGTACAAGTTTAAATAGAGCAGATCGAGGCAGCACTTTGTTCTAGTGTGTTGTTCAAATTTTCGTCAAGAGAACGGCCGTCGTCTTGACCCGACCTGCACGGAGGGAACTACTGGAACTTTTGAGGCCCCATATAGCCATAGCGGAAACCGCGGTGGGGGTGGTTGGTTTGGTTCCATTAGGTCCGGCGACTTTCGGTAGATGCCCTGGTAGTTTCGGCTTCCAAGACTTGGAAAAGCCATAGAATTCTATCGACGATCGTCCGTAGCCGGCATCGGCCTCGATTTTATACCTCTTCTTTGCTGTGGGCCTCTGTCCCACGACTTGTGCAGGCTTATCTAGGCCGCCTTCGACTTTTGTGTCGAACGCCATGTAACCCCGTTAGAGCTCTCATATAAGAGAAAACCTCACTGAATGATGAAGTGATGCTAGCTAAATTTGCGTGCAGAGTCTCACATCATCATTTCAAATACCTTGGAACAGCACATTGCAATTATCGTTATATTCTCTCCCAAGAGAGTGGCGGACGGGGGGTTGGACGGAGCCCATGTTCTAGGGTTTTTGTTTACATTTAGGGCTTTATCGACTTGTAAATCGATAAAAAGATGACAGCAACAGAGAGAATTGGCGAACGAGGAAAAGCACAAAATCTAAATCGACCTTAGATGTATCATGATGACCAAAAGATCTCTATTTCCATAGACGATTATCAAAGATTCAGATGTAATCCCTTCATGTTAAACTGCGTGTCTAGTATGGGCTATATCGTTGTTGAGCCTGCTGTAGTCGCCTAGAGCGATCAATCGCCTCTTGAGACCTGGACCTACATGGTCTTCGGGACCTCTGTGGCCTACTCCGATTATTCACTGGAGTCGGTCTACGACTTGGGCCATCAGAGTCCCTATCCCCTCCGTCAGACGTCCTCCGCGGAGTATTCGAGTACTGAACATGACGATCCCAGTCCTCCAGAGAGGTATACGGACTTCTCAACCATGCCTGTAACTCGTGGAGGAAGAGGCAGGCATTCTCGCGGCCGATGAAATCACGCAACAGCTCCTCCGCCTGTCCAGCACTGCCTTTGAGATCGACCGTGCGCAAGATAGCGATGACATATTCCAGCAGAAACTCGGCATTGTTCGCCCTACGATTCTCCAGCCGTTGAGGTCCAGGGCGTGAGACCTGGTGAGATGCCCGCTCTTCTTCCACCGATTCCGGGTTCAGGAAAGAAAAGACTCGTAGTTCACGGCGAATCCATTTGCGAGCGCGTGAGACGAGCTCTCCGTCACGACTGAAGAGCTCCGGTGTCAATTCTCGATATTGAGATAACCGATTTGATCCGACTCGCATGGAGTATGTTTGATTGCGATAGACATTGCGCCGGCGCTCGAGCGGGTCGTCTGGCTGTGGTCGCGGTGGGGGTGGGGGCCGTCGCCCTCCTCGTGGGCCATAGCGATTGACAGGGCGTGATCGCGCAGCGGTGGGAGCTGCCGGGACTGCTGCACTCGGGGGCGGGAGCTTATATAGCTTTGGACCTTGCGTGGCGTTGAGGTCGAATTGCACCCCTGTCAACTCTATTTTACCTGTTGTATTGTCGGTCAAGTCAGGACTAGTCCTCAGTATATATATCCATGGGTATTCTTACATAGAGGGCATTTGGGTTGCTGCTCGGTCCAACTGACAAGGCAGAGGAAATCGAAGTTGGCATGATAGCATGGTTGTGCCACACACGGCTCGGAGATGGTGTCAAGACAAATAACACAAGGATTTGCGGCCTCCTTCTCCTCATATGCTACCTCTTTGAGAGTCCGCTGGAGGATTTCCTGTCGCAAATCGACATCATCCATACAGGCGACATGCCAGAGAAGTGGGGGGTTGCAGGTGTTAAGTTCCTGAAGTCACGTTTGTCACGTTAATCGCGTTCTCGGCGGCTAACCCGATTTCTCGGCAGCTCCGTCACCGCGCTTGCTGGTTTTGCGACTTTAACTCACTTCCTCTCCCAACTATGCGCTAACATCTTCTCCCTTCTTTTTTTGATAGAATGCGGTCTGCCAAAGCAGTCGTTTCGGAAAAACTCGCTCGCTTCGGTTCTGCCAACATGCCGTACAGCACAGGAAGCGGAATTCATCGCCCGCATACCATCACCTCACTCCGGCGCTGGTCTATCGTGAACAAGGAGTTGCCAGGTTCGTCATCATTGCGGTTTCTTGCCCTCCATGATTCTGATGGTATTTAATTTTTAAAATTTTCAGCTGTTCCTCAAATTCGCGCAATTCACGTCTACGATTTTGATAACACTTGTGAGCATATGCAAACGTGGGATGGTCCGACATTCAACCATTAACCTCTGCACTCCCAGTATTCCTAAGTCCTCTACCAAACCCGCAATTATGGCATGGCTCCTCAATTGGTTTCCTTCAAACCAACGATAGTTTTGCAACTGGAGGATGGTGGCATGACCCCAACATTCTCGCCGCTACAGGAAAGGGCATGGAGATCGAAGAGCCTCGCAAATGGGAAGGCTGGTGGAATGAGCAAATTGTGTGGCTTCTATCATACGTTACATCTCCGAGGCTTATTAGCTGACACTTAAAAGCTTAGCTTGGTTAGGAATAGCATGGAGCAGAAAGACGCGCTCACGGTGTTGCTAACCGGTCGAAGTGAGGCTGGATTTTCAGACATCATCAAGCGGATGGTTGCTAGTCAACGCCTTGAGTTTGATCTCATTGGTCTCAAGCCCGAAGTTGGTCCAAATGGTCAACGGTTTGCGACGACAATGAACTTCAAACAGAACTTCCTTGAGGATCTTGTTTTCACTTACGAACAGGCAGCGGAAATTCGCGTCTATGAGGACCGTGTCAGGCAGTAAGTCTCCTGGAATCTTAGCATATCAAGGTATTAACCTTCTGCTAGCGTGAAAGGGTTCAGAGACTTCTTTGAGGACTTGAACAGAGACCTTCAAAGTGGACCTTCAACTGCACGGATGCCAATCGTTGCCGAAGTCATCCAGGTAACTGAGGGCTGCACATACCTTGACCCCGTAACTGAGACTGCTGAGGTGCAGCGCATGGTCAATGCCCACAACCTCACTCTGCGCAACCCTGCTTTGAACGTAACCAAGAGCCGCTGTGGACGGATGTATATCAAGCGAGTCGTCTTCTATACGGGATATCTGGTTTCTCCAGAGGTTTCAAACAGCATGACACAGAATTTGCTGGCTCCACTGCTGCCCCCAGGGCTTGCTGAATCAAATGACCTGAAGTACATGGCTAACAGCATCCTAATTACCCCACGCCCAGCGCCACGTTCAATCCTGGACAAGGTTGGAGGCATGGGCAAGAAACTAAAGTGGCAGGTTACCGGAACCGGAAACCTGGAGAACAAGATATGGGCGGCCCGTGTGGCGCCTATTCCAGCCACGGAAACATATCACACCGAAAACCCACTGCCAATCGTAGTACTGGCCGTTCGCAAAGGTGCTCGTCTCATTGATGCAGGGAAGATCCAAAACTGGCACCCCATTCCGGCTGACAGGGCTATGACTTTTGAGACAGTGGTCGGCGAGAAGGTCGTCCTGCGAGTTGAAGACAGCGGAGAACATCGTCAAGGAGAGCAACCCTTGAACAGGAGTCAAAAACGACGCTTCCAGCAGGAGGATGACAACATCGTCTGGCCACCCAGTCAAAACACTGGCTATGATATCCCATCATATGGTCGCGGCAACTTCCACTCCACTCAGCGTGGTGGAGGTGACGGACGTTCCCAATTTGATGATAGCCCACGAGGAAGAGGAGCTCATCGTGGTCGCGGCCGAGGTGTTGGACGTGGGCGTGGTAACAATACCCGAGGCCGTGGCCGAGGTCGTGGTCGAGGTGAATACTACCAGTACAGGTCGCTGGATGACCACAGCAATGGACATGATGGGGCGCATGATGGCAAGAGTGGATACAACGGTGGCGGAGGTTCAGGAAGAGGGGGTTACTCCATGGACTATTGATATTCAATATTTATATGGAGTCTCCAGGGCTGCAGTTTTGGAAGGTTGGTCTACGGGCTGGTCTCCAGCATCATCTGTAACTTTATGATTTTTACTATGTTCAAGGTCGGCTTGTATTGAAAACGTGCATTCTCTAATGGAAGGAACTACAGCGATATGACGACTTCGAGAATAGATTCGAGCCACATAACCAGTTTCCCGCCGCATCATCGATGCTTAACTTCGGTAATCAGTACATCGAAGACCTTGCGTGGAAGTCTGCCAGAAGTGCATCAGAAATTTTCAAAATCACAACGCAGAAGACAGTCATGAAGTGGGAAGACACCTGCGTCGGCGGGATCGAGCCGTCAAGCACGCGAAGGCCATTGATACCATATACTCGAGCCTCAGAACCAACAATTCCACCAAGCTCCTTTGCCATGGCCGAGCAGGTGCCAACAGCATGCCATTTGGCGTGGAAGCCCTACTTGACACAATCCACCCTGTGGTTCAAGTCAGCATTGAATTTCAATTTGGGCCCAGGTGTGGTCTCGCCATCAAAGTAGGTCTCTGTAGTCATTCAGATCCTTGATGATGGCCTCCTCGCTAGACTCATTATAGCCGTTTCCAATGGCCATGACCTTGATTTTACAGTCCTCGGTCAGCTTGGCGGCTATGGTCAGGCCCGTCTAGCCAACTCCCGCAACTAGGTAGTCAACAGTCTTGCTGACGACCTAGTTAGGGTCAGAAAAAAGACTGGACTGGACATCAATCTGCTCTCCAAGTAGATAGCTCTGGGTTGCGGCTGCAAAGGTAAGGAAACACTCGAGGGTTATAGATTTCCTCTCGGAGTTGTGAGCTCAAATGGAAGGGGGGCAAAACAAGAATAAGTCCTGGATCCATTGCTATGCAGTATAAGTTCGCAAAGACTGAAGGGGTGAGAGTATGATGATTTCTTCCGATCTACACACGAAGCTTCAATCAGAAGCTCGTCACACAGGACATTGATGATCTTGTGTAAAGACCCGACATTGATGAGTAAAATCTCGGTCAACGAGGCTGAACCTGGCTTATTAATAGTGCCCTCTGCTCGTAGCACGTGTGGGGATGAGGTAGACATGAGATCATCTTGACTCTTATAAAATGCAATCCTCGCTCAGATGAATAAATGTAGCGAGATGCCACGCAGTATCTAGCATACTCAATTTGAACATTTGCCTACTTGTTTCGTTTTTTTCCCAGAAACGCTGAATATCATGGGCGAAAGCAAAGTCACCGACAAGTCCGGTAATGATATCAATCGTGGCGATTATGTTTGGACCAAAATCCGCGGTGGAACGCATGAAGGACATGTTAGTAAACGCTAACTTACGGACAACTCTTTGTTGGGCTTATAGGAGCCTAGGGAACGCTAATGATTTACATTTGTAGGTGGAAGAGGTAATCATAGATCAGCAACGAGCAGAAGAGGTTGATGTGAAGAATCCGCCCAAAGTGAGTCGAACAGTATGATCCGGGAATTTGACTAGATGGATGCTAATAACGCGTTGTCTTTGAACAGGTACGCTTCCAGAATAAGGATGGTAAAATGGTGGCACATAACCCAGGCACCTTGGAAATATACGATACCTCATGAGAGCTAGATGAAAGCAGTCAGCATATTCTTGTTGGGGTTATTGTGATGGATCTTATACTTCATGTCGAGTGCTATAGGCTGGTTGTATGGCGTGAATTACTCCATTTTCCTTTCTATCGGCAGGAAGCTTCTTAGATCTTCTCAAATTCCGGTTCTGACTAAAATCCTAAATCCTGATTGATAGAGAGATGCCACTAGGAGGATGGGTCAGGGTTTGGCACATCCAGTTACTCAACTGATTCCTCCTCGCTCTTCAAATGAGGCAAAGTAGCCCAATAGATGCTGGTTCAAACAAGCATTGGATACCGTCCTAAATTTCGAAAAGGCGTTCGGAGACTTTTCTGATCGGTTGCAACTGTTGCAAGTTGCACTGTGATGTCATCCGCACTTCATCCCTCGCCTTAATGGAGAAGCTGCAGCTACAGAGCCTCTCTTAGTGGGAACATGGCTCGCTACTAGTTCAATCAAGCTCACTAGCCCCTTGTCACCGTGCCAGCGATGAGCTTGACGCCACTTTCAACGGTGCTGATTTGCTACTTGGTGGCATATACCACATAGTTACATCATAGGCCTCAAATATAAAAAGCGACCCGGACTCCTTTTGTTATCATCCTGCTCTTTGCAACTCTCAAAAGACAGATTTGCAATGAGTACTTCCTCGAAAGCTACCAACGCCGCAAATTTCAAACAGGGTGCTTTTAACCCTTCGGCCCCTCGCGGCGACCCAATTACCGACAAGGGCGTAAGTTTGACCTGATCAATCACAATCGGACTCCAGATAAACTAATCCTGCAGCATCAACTCGGTCGCAAAATCAATGAGGCTGACCAGCATCCCGAATACCACGGGCAGCCATTCCCTTCCGGCACCGCCCCAGCAAGCAACTCCCATGTCCCCAACCCCATTTCCTCAGTCCCCGGTCAAGGCAATAACTCCAGTGTGAGCGCGGGACAAGAAAATGAAGTCGCCACTTACACGTCGGCTTCGGAGACATTACGAGGAGCCACCTCGGGTGATGTGAACCGCGGCCTAGGGACACCGATGCAGCGCCAGACCAACACCGAGGTCAGGCATAACGGCGCGCATGGCCGTAAGAAGCAAACTTCCGGGCTGGAAGGTATTGGCTCCTCGATGCAAGAGCGTGGTAGTGGTGGCCAGTTCGCAGAACAGCGTGCCCTCGAGCGAGAATAGGTTGCTGTAAGTGGCGCATATGGCAACAAAGTTGATCGTCCCAGCGCCGAGGAGAGCTACAGTCAAAGTCGGCGTGAAGGCCTTTGTCAAGAATGAAAATCAAAATCAACCACCTAGCGTAATATGGGGCGACAGAGCAAGGACATAGATCTTTTTTTTTCCACCAAGCCCAAGCTGCTTTTCCCACTGATGTTTCAACGGAAGGTTGTTTCTGGCCTTTGAAATATTCACACAAGGCCGAGGGAAAGAACTCGTCAAAAAGCGATATCCGAATGATAAATTTTCTAAAGTCTGACGTGGAGGCCTCTTAAATGAATGAAGCATAGACGTGAAAATCATGCTGGTCTCGATCGTGTTTGACGTAGCCAGTGTTTGCTTTGCGTTCTTTGTCACTTTCAGTCCACAAAACCTGTTCCACGTGCTTCCGTGGAAGCTCAGCCTTCATCTGCTCTCTTTCAAAGATCTCGCGAGAGACTCTTTCTGGCTACATTTAACTATAGATACACATCCTTCCTAACTATTGTTCTACACACATTCACCGCCCATATATGCTATGGCAGTGGTGTTGAGTCCCCGGGAATAAGCATGGCTACAAGGACCCTACCCAACTTGCGAACCACCTTGATCAGAAGGAGTCTTTGGCCTACTTTCTGGCAGTCAATCTTATAATTGCTAGAACGTAACGAGTGCGTTCCAAGTCTCAAATTGGGGTAAGAGCACAACCAAGCAACTTCTTAGCAATGTTTTATCTGCGAACGCAGGGTTGACTTGAGCTACCCAAGAAGCCTGATTGGATGCGAAGCATGATCCTTCTTTTAGAAGGCTCTTTATTTACACATTTACATATCTCATCTGGGACAGATGCCACGGACGACTCATAATTGAGCCAAGAAATCGTCTTCGACTGGATGAGTCTGCGAAAATGAATATGATGACAGCGAATTCTTTTGCCCGCAAATACCCATCGCCAACCCTGACGACGATCCTGAATAGATCCGCACTGGTAGCCAGGACAGGATGTTGAATGAGATTCCTGCTTGGAAATTTGAAGGAAATCGATTCGGAAGAGTTCGATTTACAAGGAGCGTGGGTCTGTCGTGACATGACGCAGCCGATGGGGAAAAGGGTATGCAGAAAGGATCCTTCCAAATCGTCCAAGAGGTGATTTCACCTGCTGAAAAAGGTACAGGTCCCGTTGTCGATATGTCCGATGCTCCACAGTGGATGTACAGCTGAAGATAGCTCGCCATGCCGATATCGACAGTTCCCATAGAGGCTGGATGCAATCCTGTCCCTTGTGCGGCCCTCAGAGGACCCGGAAAATGTATATATATCACACAATTACACAACTTTGTTATCAAATCGATGCCAAAATCATCTATCTACGATGGCTTCAAACATCAGGTAGTGCGCAATGAGTTCTGATCTTGGAGGTTACCACTTCGAGCGATTGGGAGATTTAAGTTATGAAGACTAAGCTTTAGTGTCATTTTGACAGGGTGTCATGAGGACTAACTATCATTTGCAGTTCTGCGGAAGAAGAAAAAGGCGAACACAGCGTGGGAATAAAAAAAAAGAGGCTGTGGTATACATGACCAGATCAAACAAACGCCGTGTGCTGAACATAAAACAAAAGGCCACTCAAAAACACCAGTAAAAAAAAAGGATCTGTACAAAAATGTGACTCATTACACTGCATTCATTCTATCCCGGAGGATCGGCAGAGTTGCCAAAGATAAATCCCGAGGTAAAACGACAGTCATGTCTCATGTCAAATCGCAAGAAAAAGCATGCGAGGATCCATATTCTCAAAAATGTTCGTAAAATTCAACCGTCCAAGTCCCAAATTCCCCTTGGGGAAACCAAAATGTCCCAAGTGTCGTGTGTTCCGTTCCCACCCATTCCGTGATTGTGAGCCATTGCCGCGTGCTCGTAGGTATTATTCATTTCCCATTGGTGTCGTTCCGTTATAATGGTAAGGTATTTCGTAGGCGAAGAAGAAGTAGGTTGTAAGCAAGTCGCGAAAAGAAAAAGAAAAGAGAGCGAGTTTCCTTGCTTTGGCATCGAGGATGATTGGATTTGATTATTCCTCGTCAGTCAGTTTGCGGATCAGACTTATACTTAAGATCATCATCAATAGACCAACAGTTACTATGACCAGTAGGACAAAGCCAAACCAGCCAAGCACCATTGCAGAAGAGCCGACGCCGCTCTTTACACTTCCATTGCCCATGTCTTGGGCGATCGTACTGGCAGCGACAGATGCTGTGTGCTGCCACAGTACGGACACGAGAACGAAAACCGAGGAGACAAAAATGAGGGCTAGCGCGGCCTGGGAGACGGGGCGCGAGGGGAAAGGCTTGACGTCATGATCGGATCCAGACTCGTCGATCTCCTCGTGCCAGCCAGGGAATGTCGCTAGAATGATGAAACAGAAGAATGCGAGAATGACAGCAACAATCCTGCATGAGCGTTAGAGTTGTCTAGCAGTAAGAAAGTGCGAGTGACTCACAGCAGATATGGAAACACTACAGCATCCTTGAACGTCGAAGCAACCCAGATCAAGTTCAGCGGATCTTGGTCCACGGTGACAATCTCAGCCAACGCCGTTGCATTGGCATTGCAAATGAAAGATCCCTTATCGGGCTGAACACAGATACCGAAATATCCCACTCGGACTTCCAACTCTGCACCTCCGACGATGTTGGAGATTGCTGTCACAACACCTGGGTCGACTTGAGCGAGATCCCTGATCGGGTTGTACTTTTCATAGAACAGAGAGATAAGGAAGATGTTGGGGATTTGCGGGGATGATGAAGAGCAGCCGGCCAACAAAAGCGCTTAAATTTCTCAGCAAACTTCCAGCAGCAAAGACCAATAAGCAAGGTGGACACTCACACAACAAGATAATCGCAACTGCGATAATAATCATCAACACATGGTGGTAGCCGATCATTGGAATGAATCCTGGATGGAGAATTAGCGACAATTCCATTGTCAGCGATCTCTTGGTACCTTGTCACTTACGGGCCCATTTTTGAGCAAAGGAAGTAGCCATTGTGCTCGGCTAGGACCACCTCGAGGTCGGACTCCGTCACTCTTTGCTGGCTCGCTTCTCGGGTCTCCGAGAAGGAGTTGCCTGGACTGAATGAGATCACAGAGCTCAGTTGCAACGCCCCGAAGCACCCTTATTCTTTATTTGTGTGGTTCGGATAACAAGTGAAACAAGATCGAGATTGTTGGAATGGAATGTAGATGAAGAATGTAGAGGGTTGGATAAAAGGCCAGTTCTTTCAGGGCGTATTCAAATGCAAAGAAGACTCGGAAAATTATCCAAAAAATTAGATAATATTTGTCGAATTCGAATTTTGTGCCTAGAGTGGCTTATCTAGATAGGTCAGAGATAGGATATGACTTGACAACCTGTGGGTATGTAGTGCAGGTGGGAAGTATATGAAAGAGAGGGAATGTGTAGAAAGGATGAAAAGCAAAGAAGGGATTGTAGCTGGAACAATACTCAACGTCAGGCTAATTGACAGATTCTCCAAATCTTTCTAGAGGCTGGGAATAAGGCAAGAGTATGTGCTGTAAGAAATCTAGGAGGCTGGGCCAACCGCTCTTGTTTACTCTCCCGCTTCCCTGGTAACCAGTTCAGACCGCCTTCTAAGTGGATATTTCTGCCCACTCACATGGGACGGAATGGGACGTGCTAGTCCAGATCTGGACTAGTGCAGATCATAACCTTTTGCCCCACTTCCACAAGCCACGCGATTCACCCAGCCTCTTAGATATTGGGCCGTCTACTTAGTTACACTACGTAGTACGCAGAAGAATCTACTCTGTTCCATGGGGCTTATTTCAATGTTTTAACGTTTCAAGATGCTAAGATTTTCAAACCCTATCCAACGCTATGTCAAACAATAGCCCCAATTTAAAAGCATTAACACCTCAAGTTACGCGCCAAAGTGGAACCCACCAAACCAGTGTTCCAATGCTACCCCGGATTCAAAGACCCAATTTTCCCGTCCTAATGCTCCGTGATCAAATAAAGATGTAGCCTACTTTGCGGCGAAAGAAAAGCGTTTGAGATCAAGAGTAGTAAAGTGCCCTGTGCTTGGCTCATCCTCGTCTTCATCATCCTCACTGTCCGGGACAATCAGATCTTCGCTGCCTTGGGTTCCCGCAAAAGAGGACCATTTGCGTGTAACAGGAGAAGAAGCTTCAATCAGAGGTTCAGAGGCTTCGGCATCCCGGAGTTTAGTAGGAATGTTGATGGTGTTAGATCGACGGAGAGCGGATTGCCCCATCCGCTGGAGTGGCGTCAGGCGTCGTTGAAACAAGTTGCTCCGTGCAATCGCGGCTGGGCTTCTGGGGGTCGAGGGCATTGAAGGTCGTTGAGAAGTCTGAACCGCAGGAGTCTTAGTCGTCATAGAGTTGGCTGCGGCTGTGTCGGGCTTTTGCCCCGCTTGAAAAGTAAACTTGGACAGTACATTTGAGTTTTGTCGGTCAACGTGATGGTCAAGAGCCTGACTGAAACCTGGGGAGCTCGGTGTGGCATCCCCGGGACTGTCCTGAGATGTTTCGAGGTTCTCGGTCATCACGGCTTTGTTGGAGATGGAGCTAGGAGGAGTTTCAACTTCACTGGGCTTGCCAGATATCTCAAGGTTGTTCTTGCGTCTAGACTCAGCAGACGAAGGCGTAGTACTGGGATCTGGAATTCTGGACATGATATCTTCTGCCATTTCATCAGAGAAGACACCGCCTACTGATTTGCGTGACCGTTTTGACCGAAAGGGCTTTTGGCCACTGGGGCTATCCTGTTCTGAAGTAGGAGCAAAAAACCGACTACGAGCAGGGGAACAAGCAGGTAGAGAATCTCCTTCAACCTCAGAGCAAAGTCTCTGTCTCTTTGTACACTGCAAGGTCGACGACTTGGCACTTTGGGCCAAGAATGATGAGCGTTCCACACTCCGAACCATAGGGCTAAGGCCTTGGTCAGAAAAGGCTCTGAGAGGTGTGGATCTGACCGAGTTGGAGCGGAAGGGCGCCGCATTGGCCTGCCAGGTGTTGTTTGCATTGCGCTCCAGGAGTCGTTGCTGGCTCGGAGACGGGGTCAGGCTATTAGGGTCCAGCTCGGCCAGCGGCGTCCTCTTCGGGGTGAAGAATGAGTTGATGGACTTTTTGGGCTTCAACTCAGAGGAAGTACCCAATGTCAGTCGGCGACTGATGCCAAGAGTCCATCGATTTGCGGCTAGTGGCTTTAGAGTGATTGGTTCCTTAGTAGTTGGATCCAGATCGCCACGAGAAACTCCAACGGCAATTTGCGGCTCCATATCGGCGCCGATATATGGCAGGACGGCCAAATTCACATCATCATCAGGTAAAGTCAGAGTCACTAGCTTTTCAGCTTTGCGGCAGAAGACTCGCTGGTAGAGGAAGGTCAACTCAGCCTGTTTGAAGTTGGCAAGGTAGTCTGCTGGGACTCGGAAATTGCCATCAAATTGGAGCATGCGCAGGGCTTTTTCAACATTTCGATGTTTGCGAATGATCCGGTAGGCAGTCTTCAGTCCCAGTTTGGGAATATTTGCCAAGTAGTCACAACCGCTCAAAATGCACATATTTCTGAAGTCTGGATCACTGAAACCAACCAAGTTAACCTCGCGGCAAGCAGTAAAATCAGCGCGATTTATTTCAATGCACTCCCCGTGCTGATCCAATTTGGAGATCAATCGCTTTGCCCCAAAAACAAGCAAGTCCGAGTCCTCGGATATGATTCCGTGAATGTCACCCTGTTGCTCCAGGTACACCAACTGGGCATCTGCTTCATACGGGGCCACCACATATTGCACATTCATCTGCTTCAGTTCCTCGATCAACTGCCGGGCCATGTAGGGTGTTACATCGACGGCCTTTTGGAACTCCTGGTAAGCTTCTGGCATCTTGCCTTTCCGTTGTAACTCCAGCCCAAGGGTCTTGCTTTCCTGACGTCGCTTATAGCGATCCTGTTCGGTCCCTGCCTTGCTGGGCAGATTGTCTCCATCGAAAACGAGGTAGGGTTTCACCCCAAAGAAAAGAAGCATGCGGACCCGATTGAGGACGAAATCAATGTGCCTGCCACAAGATAGCATGATCAGTAAAGGGCTTAGGGAGAAGATCTCAAATAGACATACTTCCTAGTAGGATTGTCCAGGACCAAATCCACAGAACAAGCAACTGTTCCACGGTGCAGCCATCCATATGCATCAACTCCAAGAGTTTGCCCATTGAAATTTTTAACATGACAGGGTTTCTGAATGGACTTGAGAAGCCCGTGCAGTCCTGTTTCTTTGCGTTAAAGTCATCTTTCATTTCCCCCCTAGAAAGTCACAAGTCAACATACCTTTGATACCCATGGTGGACACCGTTCGAGGGACAGGCGGGTCCTCGTATTCAAGCAATAAATGATAACATAAGTTGAAATTTCCAAAAGAAGGAAAAAGGTAAATAGGAAATACAATGCGAGGTCCAAATCCAGTCTCACTTAGAGAATTAAAGGAGTAAATAACTACTGGAATGTCCCTATATCGACGCGCAGACGCGCTTTCCTCGAGTGGGGAAGGCGGTGATATCGGAGTCACCGCCTTTTAATGCCGGTGCTTCCACGAAAATAATCGTCGAAATCTACGGCGGAGTGTTTGGAGTAATTCTTGTCCTCAGCCCGCCACCATGCCCGTTACTCTAGAAAAAGTGCACAAGCAGATTTCCAAGAAGCGCAGCTCCACTAATGTGCTTCATGAAAATAGTCGCGATGCCCACCGACTCCGCAAAGCTGGTGCTCGCGACGATCGATTGTCCCGCCATAACGCCACTGTGAACCGTGCAAGACAGCCATACTGTGAGACAGCTATCTATTTCAATTGAAGACCACCCAGCTGACCCAAACAGTGGACCGAATTAATTACATCTTTGAGGCTATTCAAGAGCTTACCGAGGCCCTTTCAACGGAAGAGATTTCCGAGTTCGTCGCCAAGTATGTAACACCAACGATCTGGGAACAAATTCAAAACTAACCCAACCCAGGTACATTGACCGTGACACTGAGGAGATCAAACAGCTCGAGTCAGAGCGCCGGAAGGGACGTCCTCCTAGCAAGCGCGAAGAAGCCTTGAAACAGCGAGTGCAAACCGAGGATCGGGAGTGGTCAACTGGACTTTGGATGCCCGATCTAGGGGATCAATATGCGATGACCGCAATGAAGAACTGGAATGGGCATTGGTCGGGTCTCAGTGCGATCAAGTTCATGCGGTTCACGAAAGCCGGAGACAAACTCACATCTACTTTCCCCCCGAAGAGCATGTCATAATCACGATTCCTTCTTTTTCTATCTTTTTTTTTGTCTGGTGTCCAAAAAGACTGGGTTGGCGCATTATGGGTACAATGGATTCTTTTCTAGATTCCGTACAGCCGAATTTTCTCGAATATACCATTTCAATGCGGTTATATCATTCGTCTAGTATCCCTCAATGCGCCAGGCCTTCCATCAGCCGTTCGTGCGCATACAGTAGAGCTAGTCATGATAGGAGTTCCAATCAACTCAAATCACTCACTGTTCTCTTTGATGAGAGTCAATTGAAAATGTTTGTGCCTTTTGCCGAATGTCAAACCAAGTTGCGTGGTCGCGCGCCAAAGTAGAAGTGCCGGTCTTGGCATTCGTAATAACTTGTCTCAATTACTTTTTCCCCAAGCTCTCATCCTCATCTACTCTAGACCATCCACATTCACAATGCTTTCTCTTCGCACTATCACACGCTCTATCCCGCGCACTTTCTCGCGCTCCGTTGCCACTTCGGCTCTGCGCCCAGCACTTCCCAAGCTCGCCCTCCAGCAACCTTGGAAGCAGGCTACTAAGCCCGCCTACGCTGCCTTCTCGACCACTAGCATCTTCAAGGCTCCTTCATCTGAAGGTAAGATGCTTTAAAGAATCTTTCAGAGAGTCCGCCGAAATCAGAGCTTTTCTAGTAGCGGATTCTTGATGTGGTCATGGGCTGATTCTAGATTTTCCTTCTCACAGTCGACATTGAGCTTCTCGCCAAGCTCGAGGATGAGCTGAAGCACGAGAATTCTTCCGAAATCCCTGAATTTGAGGAGCAACTGGAAGCCATCGAAGAGACTATTAAGCACGGCGAGTGGCAGGTGAAGGATATTGCGGGAGACCAAGAGGTCATCCTTACCAAGAAGTTCGGCACTGAGAAGTACGATTCATACAACCATTCCACTTTTTCTTTTCTTACCATTCTAATGGTGAATGCTAATTAATATGCGCGATTGTTTAGCATCCGTGTCAGCTTTACCGTCGCCGATATCCAGAACATCAGCGAACAGGACGACTTCGACGACGCCTCTCTGGCCGATGAGATGGACTTCCAGAACCAGTCTCGCGGCCATGATGCCGAGGCCTCCGCCGAGGAGGACATCGAGCAGCCGGAGCCAAGCTTCCCTGCTCGTGTTACCATCACCGTTGAGAAGCCCAACCACGGTGCTCTTCTGATCCAGACCGTTGTCCAGGACGGTGTGTTCCAGATCGAGGAGGTCTCCCACTTCGCCAAGGCTGAGCTCGCCCAGTCTTTAACTGCTGAGAAGGATTGGGCTCGCCAGAGCCTCTACGCAGGCCCCCCCTTCGAGAACCTCGATGAAGACCTTCAGGGTCTGTGGGACCGCTACCTCGAGGACCGTGGCCTCAACACCGAGTTCGCTAACATGGTCCCTGACTATATCTCCGTTAAGGAGCAAAAGGAGTACTTGCGCTGGTTGGAGAGTATGTCTACCTTCCTACATATTGCTTCTGTGACTCGTGCTAACAACACTTTTCTCCTTTAGCCGTCAAGAACTTCATTGGTGCTTAAATTAACTACCCCATTTAACCTTCGGCAGATTTCCTGTTAATCCTGTCGGAGGTGCTTTTTGTTAATGAGAAGATGTCATGCTATGGAGATGCCACCCTCGTGCCTCCATGTCATGGTGTGCTTCAGTGCAACTACTTGTACCAATATTTCCAATATACAATCACTTCACTTACTACACGGCCATAGTTCTACTTCTATTCTAATTTGCACAGCTTGCAAGTTGACACGTTCCACATCCGAGTGGTTATCGATATTCAATTGATAGATTCGAATGCGAACAAGGTAATAAATGTTGAATCAGGCTGATTGATAGCAAATCACTCAGTTTCATTCACCATAGACCCCAACTCCTCGAAAGTGCAATCATTTGATATGATTGAAGTCCAAAATTAAATCAGTGGAGGTAATTAACAAAACATAAAGTCATAATCCTATGAGGGAAAGCTAGGCACAGGGAACTGGTGCGGTCAAAATTCCATAGGATCGGCCTTGATAGCAGAGCCACTGTCGTCGCGTTCACGCTTGCCAGCACGCTCTTCCCTAATGAGGCCTGCGATGAATGAACGAAAGAAGTCGATGTATGGTTTCAGGCTGGTCTTTTCATAGTCCTGCACCTTCCGACTACCCTTCATGTCGGAACCGTTCATCGTGCTTCCTTCAACATCAGGGATGTCTGCCTCCGCTGAGCCGGCAGGGTGTTTCGCGTCATATTCATCAATCTCAGCGAGCAGAGTCATTACCGTCGGGACGGAGAGAGGATCGAAGTGTTCGGCATTGCGAGGATCGATAGGAACACAAATACGACCAGTGCCGGGGTGGATAACAAAGGGACTCTTGAGCAAATGAATCATCTTCTTGCTGACCTCGGCATCCAGGCGTGGGTATGTATATTCCAGAACAATGTCTTGCTTCGCATCTCGGAGCGTCGCAGGGTTTAGTGTGCTACTCTTACCAGTCTTTGCAAGTGAATCAATATCAGCCCATTTACTGGTGCTGGCACGATTTGGAGAGGACTCCCATTTCCTCCTCAGGGATTCATTCAATAGCTTGTCAGGCAACAAGGACAAAAGGCGCTCGGCCTGCTCAGCGGATTCAAATGTGTCTTGGTCACCAAGTGTGGTCCGGGCAAAGTCATGTTTGAGCAACTCAAGACTGCGTACAATATGGGGATGCAGTGGGCGTTTAATGTTGACTTTCTTCCCACTTTGTGAACCTCCGCGGACCATCTCAAGATATCCAGCAATGGCTCGACGACGATCATCCGGTAGATGACGCGCACGTGGATCACACACCCAAGCATGGGCACCACGACGACCCGAGTAAACCCAGAGGATGTGTTCAAACCCAAAGTCCTCCCGGAGTGCGGTGTCAATGACCTTGATTGACATAGTCACAAATGACCAGCACTTCGCACAGATGTTCACATTCACACAACATGTACGAATATCATCATAATCAGTCAAATCAATATCGAAAACCAATTCCTTATGGACTGGCTTCATTTGGCCACCTCGTAACGTTTTGCGATCGCGTGGGTTGGTACTGTAGACAGGTCCGATTTCGAAGCGAGAAGGGTTCATCTTGAGTATGTCTTTCCGAAACCTGGCCACATGTGTTAGCTCCAGGGGCATTCGACAATAGAAATCGAATTGGTCTTACAGGTCAGCAGTTGGATATGATTGGTACCGGAGATATGCGTCATTTTGTAGCGTCAGTGCAAACTCTCGGTTGCCGAAGTCTTTTGTTGGTACAATGCCATGATTCAGCCATTGGAAAAGATATCGGAAGGGGAAAAGTCGTTGATAAAAGGCGAGCATGATATCCGAGTCCACACCAGAGGATGTGGGCACTGGAGGCCTGTTACGAGCTTTTGGTCAGCATTTCGCGTCAAGGTTGTTGTTCGCGAATTGAGCACCCACTTTTCCTTCGCAACTGGAGATTCCATCTTCACATCTCCAGTAGCCGAGAACTCATCGTCATTGTCATCATCGCCGTTGAACATGTCCTCGAGTCTGACATTAGTTTCAGTCGAGGTCTCGACTGGGGGGGCATCCGGCATTTCATCGTCATTCTGCGCAGAGCCAGGTGATACAGAGTGAGGCATTGTGGGCGAGATTTGGTGATGGGCAAAACAAATACACTCTTCAAGGTTCTCCAGGGCTTAATTGAGCCCAAACAGGAAGGCGTGACACGCGACACGCGACGCGCGAAGCCCTTTGCGCGCGTCTGCCCTAAGCCCTGTGTCACGTGCTGCCCGAAAATGGAACTGTAATCCCGAAGACAAATCAGGCCGCTAACTAGTTAACCGCTAACTACAACCTAGGCCAAAAGATCACAAGGACAAACAGAACGTTTGTTTGTCATTGCAGCGGCATATATATTACATATATATTAGGCCCTAACATCCGTTAGGGACCACAGAACTGCCATCTATGTTGTATGATCGAAAACGGATGGGATGCCTCGAGACTGTTGCTTGCTTTCACTTGAAAGAGGCAGTCGTCAACTCTGCTACAAGATGTCAAGGTACTACATCCATCCCCTTGCCGTTTGCGGCCAAAACATCTGTAGTACCTTACGGCTGTACCTCTTGTCCACCAGGATCCACGGATGACATCTAGACTTCTTGCTGTCCCAAACGACAACGGGCATGCAGGCTGCACGTCACCTTGTCGGATTGGTTGAAGCCACCTCCGGTGTCAATCTCTAACGAGAACACCATTGTTAGTTTGCGGCAAAATGCCCCATCTTCGCGCAATGTGGACTTGGCCAAACCCAGTGCTAGATTGAGATGTCCCCGTCATTGATTACAGCTGTCGATGTTACTACAGTCCACATCCGGATCAATCCCTCAGAAAATGTTATTTGGCGAGCCTGTTGGGATAGCCTTGCTGAGGGAATACTTCAAGTTCACGCGTACATTCCTTCATAGTGGCATCAACCAATGGAACGCCCCTATTCTTGGTCGGATGCTATGCCCACATTCCAGAGAGCTAACCTTGAAATTAATGACCCCTATTCGTACCTGGGGGTTTTTGGCCGCTTTTAATCTACTGGTTGAGCGTTTTGACTGCGAGACCATCGATCTGCGTGGGGTCTTTACCCCCAATCAGAGGGTCTTTTTCATCAAATGTGGTCCCGGTCAAATATGATCACCCAGCCATCGTACTGGCAGCTGCCTGGTGGCTACTCCTCTGTTAACGCTAAATATCCGAAATAGGCCTTTGCTGACCATGCAATCAAAAATACCTGTATTCTTGAACAACAATTAAGTGATATTGTCTGCGGAAAGGAAGCAATATACAGTCACGCCAACAATCCGCCAGCTACTTTTTCGGATTGTGAGGCTCCGGAGATTGCCAAGATCTTCTCACACTTCCGCATTAGGCTACTCTAGTGGATGAAGATGGAGATCTCCCCCGCTACTTACCCTACTGGTGCTCAGTCTGTCACGTTTGCATCCGAGTTCGCCATACGGATGTATCATTGCACAAAATTTCGTCCAATGGCATTTTATCTGTGCCTTTGCAATCTGTGATGAAGCTATCCTAGTACCTGCATTCGGCTTCATATGGTCACATTGCGAATCAGGTCTACCTTTCTGTCCTGAACACGACCGTGGCGCCCACATCCGTCATGACTTGGGTCCAGTCTTGTCAAACAGGGCATATAAGACCATTCATCTCTGTCCACCTCTCAGACTTTCCATCACCATCTCTTCACTCGTTAGCTTTTCCAGTTTGTTAAGACTTTGACCACTCGAAATGATCAACTCCGTTGCTATTCTGGCTCTTGCCAGCCCAGCCTTCGCCGGTATCATGCAGGCTCGTGGCGAGGATTTCGTCCGCCGCGCTGCTCAGAGCTCTGCTGCTGTTGCTGCCCCTGCCCAGGCTGAGGGCTGGGGCGAGAGCTGGTCCAAGCCGGCCGAGCACGTCTCGACTCACGACTCTTGGAGCAAGACCACTGAGTCGTGGACAACCCCGTGCACCACCTCGACCACCACTACCCCGGTGCACGAGCACACCACTACCACCCCGGTGCATGAGCACACCACCACCACCCGGTGCATGAGCACACCACCACCCCCCGGTGCATGAGCACACCACCACCACTCCGGGGCACAAGCATACCACCACCACCCCCCCGGTGCATGAGCATACCACCACCACCCCGGTGCATGAGCACACCACCACTCCGGTGCACAGCAACACCACCACCCCATGCACCACCTCGACCACCCCGGTGCACGAGCACACCACCACTCCGGTGTGGGAGCACACTACCACCACCCCGGTGAACGGTACCACTACCCCCTGCACCACCTCGACTATCCCGGTGCACAAGCACACCACCACTCCAGTGTGGGAGCACACCACCACCACCCCGGTGAACGGTACCACTACCCCCTGCACCACCTCGACCACGCCGGTGCATGAACACACCACCACTAAGCCCCACGTCCCCGTGAACCCTGGCACCACCAAGACTCTTACTTACGTGACCACTACCTGCCCTGGTAAGCCCTATAATGATCTCTACCAAACCAAACTTCTGGAACCACAAATCTTAACAATATGTTTTAGTCACCTCGTCTACCATCACTTCTGGCTCTAAGACCTGGACCGTTCCCGTCACCGGAACAAGCACCATCACCATCACCAAGACTACCGTCTGCACCCTGTGCGATGAGAAGCCTCTCACCTTCTACAACGCCACCCAGCCAGCCACCGGAGGCCCTACCGCCCCCGTCCTGAAGCCTACTGGAGATGTTGTGATTCCCCACAAGCCCGCTTCCACCAACCCCGCTGTCCCCGTTGAGACCCAGCCCGTCGAGACCAAGCCTGGTGTTCCCGTTGAGACCCAGCCCGTCGAGACCAAGCCTGGTGTTCCCGTCGAGACCAAGCCCGGTGTTCCCGTCGAGACTCAGCCCGGTGTTCCCGCTCAGACTCAGCCCAGTGTCCCTGGTGTTCCCGCTCAGACCCAGCCCGGTGTCCCCGCTGCTCCCGGCGTCCCTGCTGCTCCCGGCGTCCCTGCTGCT